GCATGGCTTTTAGAGACCTTCCTACTGGCTTTTCCTACATAAAAAGGTAATGATAAAGAAAAGATATGACTCGTTCATAAATGAATGACTCACAAGTACAAAGACATGTATGGCACACCAATGTTAACTAATGTAAAGGCCCACAGTAACTCTTCACCTCTGTAAAGGACACAGTGGAGCAACACGACTGGGCTGTGTTCATTAGGGCACACGACAGGGTAGTGTTCATTAGGGCAACACGACAGGGTTGTGTTCATTAGGGCACACGACAGAAAACGCCTTCAAAAACATTTTGTAATGGAAAAAACAAAAATTTCTTATTAGACGAATCCAAGTAGGCCCTCCCTTCTGCAGTCCGTTTTGTGCCTAATGAACCCAAACCAGGCATCCAAACACACTGTTGTTACAGGACAGGAGACCAACGCATGGAGACAGGGAAATTTTCCGTTCAATCCAGATTCTAGCTCTAAACATAGTGTTAGTGACAGTTTGGAATAACTCCTCACCCTGCCGTCTGTCCTACAGGTTAAAAAAGACCCAATTAGTCAACCGCAGCTATCACTGGAAAGTGATCAGCTAGCGGTGATCAATTATGTAGCAGACCTTTGTCAATCAACCGTAGTCACATAAAAAATAAAATAAAATCATGACTGCATGCCCACATCGAAAAATGTCAGACTTAACGATTTGAAAACTAACAGTTTGTCAATTTAACAATTTTTTTTTTTTTTTCTTCATCCATTCTGGAATTGTTTTTATATGTATTTTCCTCACTCACGTAAAACCAAAGCAATGTAACATTATTAATGCACTCTGTACTAAAGTCGGTGTGTGTCCAAAATGGCACCCTAAACCCTACACAGTGCACTACTTTTGACCATGGTCCATAGGGCTAAATAGGGAATAAGGTGCCATTTTGAATAACGCACTATGCCTAGCCTAGCTCAGCCTGCCTTATACATGTCCCTTAAAACGCATCACTGACCTCTACTACAACAGGCAAGAATCAGCAGCTTTCCGTTAGTGGTTATTAGTTCTATTCTTCTGCATCAAAACATATATCAAAGAAAAATAAAGTCGTTACATCACGACGTGATCAGAGCAAGTAGTTACATCATGACGTGATCAGAACAAGTCATTAAATCATAACGTGATCGGAGCAAGTTGTTACTAGGGCTGTTGAGGTGACCGTATTACCGCCACACCGGCGGTCAAGAGTCATGAAGGCAGTCAAATTCCACGTGACCGTTCTTAGTCACGGTAATTAGGCTTCTCCGAGGTCTGATGCTGCTGATGGTCATTAGTAGCCTACCGAACTTGCTAACTGCCTGGTACTCAGCACTCTATTGTCCCTCTAATCACTCTGACATCAATGCTAATGTCATCGGAAATCTAATCAAACACTTCATTAGAGCCCATGAGCTCATGTTGCGCAACATTTCAACAGGCTATGCAATTGCGTGAGAAAACAGAGTGATGGCCTCTACTAAAAAGAGGAGGATCCCATCAGCTTTCTATAGGCTAGGCCTACTAAACTTATTTCTCAACTTTCCTAATATTAAGCACATTGCTTCTCTTTAAAACAGGAGTATAGCCTACCTGCCAGCCTACCTGGCTGGCATGAAAATAAACCATGGGAAAAGTGTCCTCCATTCGCTATTTAAGTGCATAGATGACATGTATTTTTTCCCGCTGCCCCTGTTTCAAGACAGGTGCATGATAATGGTCCATTCTAAATCAAAACAAATTTCACACATATATTATTTAGTAAATGTAAAAGACAAGATTAAATCAAGAATAGTGTGATGGGTGACAATATTAGCCTGTCACTTGTGAATGATATATTATCACTTGTGAATGATGCCCAGCATAAGAAACAATGCCTTTTTTTGCGACTTTTTCTGAATCGTAGTCGCACACCTCATGTAGCCGAGCCCATAGGCCTATATGTTTTAGTGGCCAAATAACTTCTTAAAATTAAGCACATTCATCCGCTTTACAAGGGGTTTAGAGGCTAACTGGTATACATAAGCAGCGCGTGAGTTTCAAGTTTGGAGAAGATAATTTTCACCATAAAAAATGCACCTTTATAATAAAAGCATTTCGTGCATAGTCGCATTTGCGGTCACTTTTGATAGTGTTTTCCCCGCTAATGGAACATTTGCGCTTATAGCCTACTGCCATGTGCGCATTGCTGCACTTATTAATGTGAAGAAATAGCTGAATAGTTTATCAACATTTTAAGCCAAACGTTCTCATCTGTTGCGTCAGGCTCATTGCTTAAAACAGTTTTTTTGATGCTAGTGGTTGTATTAATTTGGGATCTATCGCACCCCACAACTGTCCCAGACTATGTTTGGAAAATTAATTTATTGCACAGAATAGGTCATCGTTTGTACTATGGGGGATAGTAGATTGACGTAGGCTAGTGTTTTTGCTGTTCGTTAGGCCTACTCATCTTGTTGGCTGACGAAAAGTAAATGTGGACAGTTCTTCCAATATCTTCAATATGCACCTCGGAATTGGATAAGGACGCACGCAGTTGCATCCCCGATGTGTCTGTCTTCACTTGTAGCCTGTGAGAAAGACCCGATCACGTGATGGAGAGCGGTGTGAGTGAGAGGCGCTTCGGATTGCGCAGCACTCAGGGAGAAGGGCACAAACCAGCACTCCAGGCTGCAAAAGGCATGGATTTTTTTTAGGGTGCATTACAGCCACAAAGGGGATGACGCCGTGAAATTTGAGGCATTATCAAGTGCTTGTCAAATTGTGAATGAGAGACTATTGCAGTGTGTACAGCCTGCGCAAAAAAAACAAAGCAGAGCTCATGCCTTTCAAGCGACTTTTTTCAAATCATCATTAGAGTCTCATCATGCAGTCTTACAATGTATAAAAAATCAAAACATATAGCCCAACGTTTGTAGAACAACTAAAGGTACATTAATAACTCTAAATTAACCATATAGGAATACCTATTTCTTTGTTAACCGCTCAACACAGAATAGCCGCACGTGCGCACTCCCTCAAACCGTTTGGAGAAAATATTTATATTTTATTCAGCTTTGTTCAATTGTAGTCTTCATACTATAAAATAATGCCACGGAATTCTAAGCAAATCTTGTCTGTTAAATTAATTAGTGTAGCCCACAGCCATATGGCATAGCCAGATCAGAGCCTAACATAAGGACAACTCAGAGTATGCTATTCTGTTCTTCTGAATTAGACTAGATTTTCTTCATATCATGCTTCTTTAGACCTGTAGAAAATAAATAATGGATTTATTGTGAAGGTGTAGGCTATATTACATGGATTTATTAGACTTTTTAAAATTGTAGATGTTCCAAAGGTCTGCATCACTGGCTATATGTGGAAGCCAGGAGATGCTAAATGTTTTTGTTAATTAACGGTCAATTACCGTGAGACCGACGGTTACTTGCTTGACAATCACCGGCTGACTAAATTTCGTGACCCGCCACAGCCCTAGTTGTTACATCATAAGGTGAGAGAGAGATCTTGAACGTCACAAAAAGGTCAAAAAGGTGAGAAGTAGCGGGATATGGTGGTGACCTTTTAGTTAAATCCCCGGAACCTAGCATCTGGCAACCGGACCCTAAACACATGGAGACCTCCATCCATATGATTCCATCACTGCAGTAAAAGGAGAACTTGATCGGGTGAAATGCTGTCAATTTCCAACTACAGCGTCCAGTCCACAGAACTCACCCATTTACTCTTCCAGATACCTTCATTTGTGTTACTGTCCTGAGAGTACAGTACTAACCAAAAACAGTAAAGAATCATACGTACATTGTTACTGTCCTGAGAGTACAGTACTAACCAAAAACAGTAAAGAATCATACGTACATTTACAGTAGAAGAAATAGTTGAGTCACATGCAGAAGACAGTCAGTCTACATGGAGAAACCAAGAGAAGAGCTGTGTGTCGTTTCGCAGTTTTGTTTGAAACGTTGTGTCGTAATCACAAGTGCAGAAAATCTCCTAAGTGTGTTTTTTTTACTTCACTTCCTGGCTAAGATGGCTGACAAAACATTTAGACCAACCAGGAGCCACGGAACATACGGGTGTTCTCACTCAAGAGGAGGGACTTTGCAAATCAAAAGAGAAACATGACCGAAGGTACTAAAGCTACACGTGATGAAACCATTCCATTCCTCCACTCCTTGGCACTCCATAGAGAGAGAGAGAGAGAGAGAGAGAGAGAGAGAGAGAGAGAGAGAGAGAGAGAGAGAGAGAGAGAGAAAGAAAGAAAGAGAAAGAAAATTAAATTGATGGGAAAAGATGCAGACCACAGACCTACTGCATTGGAAATGGCCAATGGTCACATCCACTCCACAAAAAGACAAAATGGCGGATGGTCAAATAAAATGACCATCCGCCAAAATGGCTGATGGTGGAATCCACTCCACCTAGAGAGCCACAGAAAACAGCTGGATGAAGACTGAAGAGGTCAGCCGTGCTTGCAGGTTCCAGTTGTGGTCGTTGGGAGGGGGTCCGTTTATTTTCGCTTTCTCAACTCTGTTTTGATTGTAGATGGAGGGTATGAGGAAGGTAAACAACCAGTTCAGGCTGTTCTTTGGATGGAGTGAAGCAAGTGTTTTATCCTACTGTTCGGTGTAAACGGTGGGATTCCCACCCAGGTCCACCCACCGACTCCTTCATTATTAGACTAAGAGGAAATCATAAAAAGTGTGTAGAAACCAAAGCCTTTCCCTTGATTCTATCTATCCTAATCCAGAAAAATCTAAAGAAAATCCTCTCGATCTAAAATGGTTAGGACGTCAGATTCCCACCCTGGAGACCTGGATTAAAATTCCACATATCGGTTCAAATCCCAATCCCACCAGTTACATAGATAGGCACAAGGAGGAGGCAAGGCATGGCATGGAGCAGTCGGTGGAGGGAGCATCTTGTCCGAGCGGTCCCCACCCCGAGCGGTCCCCACCCCCGAGCGGTCCCCACCCCCGAGCGGTCTCAACGGCTCATCGTCTCATCTGGCCCATCTGGTAGTTTTCCCTGGGCTGGCCCTGGCTGCGGTGGTGCCTCTGGGGCTGGGGCTGGCGTGAGGGCTGCTGCCGCTGGCCTCCAGAGACTGGGTGGTGCTGGCCGTGACCGACACCTCCGTGGTGGGGCTGGGACTGGTGCACCTGGGCGTCCCTGGCCTCCCGGGCGTGCTGCTGGGCTCTCCTCCTCTTTAGCGTACCTGGGGTTGAGGGAGGGAGACGGATTAGTTCACAAGCTATCAACTCTCTTCAATCGCCAGCTCTTATTTGTCTCGTCTGCTCCAGTTCCCAAACGTAACATTTTTTTTTACAACTCCATCGTTTTGAAGATTTTGTAGCGCACCCCCACAAAACTACCGCAGAGAAAAACAATACTAAGTAGCCGATAAGACCGTTGAGAAGATGGCTCATATCTCTGGCGGTTTGTGTGGGAGAGCTGGGTGTGACTACTGGCACTCACCTGGTAGTGGTTTGGGTGGGGGCAGCTTGGGGTTACTGGAGGGGGTGTGGAGACTCACCTGGTAGTGGTTTGGGTGGGGGCAGCTTGGGGTTACTGGAGGGGGTGTGGACACTCACCTGGTAGTGGTTTGGGTGGGGGCAGCTTGGGGTTACTGGAGGGGGTGTGGACACTCACCTGGTAGTGGTTTGGGTGGGGGCAGCTTGGGGTTACTGGAGGGGGTGTGGACACTCACCTGGTAGTGGTTTGGGTGGGGGGCAGCTTGGGGTTACTGGAGGGGGTGTGGACACTCACCTGGTAGTGGTTTGGGTGGGGGCAGCTTGGGGTTACTGGAGGGGGTGTGGACACTCACCTGGTAGTGGTTTGGGTGGGGGCAGCTTGGGGTTACTGGAGGGGGTGTGGACACTCACCTGGTAGTGGTTTGGGTGGGGGCAGCTTGGGGTTACTGGAGGGGGTGTGGACACTCACCTGGTAGTGGTTTGGGTGGGGGCAGCTTGGGGTTACTGGAGGGGGTGTGGACACTCACCTGGTAGTGGTTTGGGTGGGGGCAGCTTGGGGTTACTGGAGGGGGTGTGGAGACTCACCTGGTAGTGGTTTGGGTGGGGGCAGCTTGGGGTTACTGGAGGGGGTGTGGAGACTCACCTGGTAGTGGTTTGGGTGGGGGCAGCTTGGGGTTACTGGAGGGGGTGTGGACACTGCAGATCTTAATGAAGCCAGCCATCAACATGATCAGAGCGATGCCCATCAACAGCACTGCCCACCAGTGAGCCTGGAATTAAGACAATGGAAAACACATATTCACACAAAAATACATTCAAGGGTATATCGTGACATCTACTGTAGTGGTTCCCAACCTTTTTTATCAACCGTGGCACACCTTGATTGGATAAACATTTCTGCGGCACACAAACTTTTCCTAATAATTTATTTCGTTTTTTAATGACCTCCGTCTCATCTGATCCGTACTGCAAATCATCTATTTTCTGTGACAAACGTTTAAAAAAAAAAAAAAAAAGATTAAATAGGGTTTATTTGAACTATTTCCATAGTTCCTTACTCGTGATGATTCATTTGTGTGTACCCCTTTAAGAGCATCCCGCGAATCCGCATCAGAAAGTAGCTCTGGTAAAAATATATATATTTTGTTTTGAACGGATTGAGCTAGGAGACAAGAGTTTTTTTTTTCTTCATTGTGAAGGTGTAACCACGGACACAAAGCCATGCTCTGTTTGTTACTATGGTAACCACGGACACAAAGCCATGCTCTGTTTGTTACTATGGCGGAGGCTGTGGTACAGCTAAGCCTGTTCAGACTTGCCTGTGCTAATGGTTCTCACAGTCTAAAGTACAATTGTGCAAATGACTTTGCTTTGTGACGCGCGCCCCCTCGAATGATACGGTCCTAATATAAACAACAGCTTGAGCACACTGGACTTGAAAACAGCGACACAGACGGAACCGATGACATTCAATGTATTATCTGAGCTGGTGCTCCCAAGTCAACATTTCATGTGCATTCCCACAGGTCACGTTTATAAGTGAGTGTTAAATTTATTTATTTTTTTAATCAAGATTAGGATACGTTTTTCGCGGCACACATGAGAGTTCCCCAAGGGCACACCAGCGTGCCGCTTTACATCGGTTGAAAACCACTGGTCAGTTTTGAACACTCAAATACCCTTTTCACACCATCATGCCAACCTGACCAGTACTGTGCCTGCGCTGATATTTTATTTTCTAGCAATTCGGTGTATACAAAACCAGGCCAGCGCAGTAGTGTGAAAATGATATGATATTCAAATACAGTCAAGTCAGCAACGACACATCACACTATCCATTGAGATGTTCTCATAGAGCTCAGGGTCGAAGAGTCAGTCAATAAGCTACGTACCACTATCCACTCTGCAATGTTCTCATAGAGCTCAGGGTTGAAGATGGCCTTCTTCAGCCTGGCCAGGGGGCCGTCAGCGTCCACCAGCCGACACTTCATGAACACGTCACAGTAGCCCTTGAAGTCGTTGCAGGGAGACCCCGCGGGCAGCGTGGTGACCTTCTTATTGAAGAACCGGGCCAGCTTCTCTGAGCCCGTACTGCTGCAGGTGTTGGGGTTCACTGCAACACAAAGACAAATCACAGGAGTCAATAATAATTTCATATTTTCTAGCGCTATTCATATTCATTACATAAAGAATCTCAAATAGCTTTAAACATTGACATACAAGCTGGCAAGTAAGGTTGAACGATTCCAGAAAAGTTTCCTGTTTTTTTTTTTTTCCCCCAGAAATCCTGAATTGGATTCAAGAAATCATGAAGGAATCCTCCAACTGGGATTTCTGAAACACCCAGGAACTTTTGGAATGCATCTGGAATTTAGCTAAACCTGGTAAGGACATAATACCTCTCCAATATAAGTCTTAAAACGACGTGAATGTCAGGATAGGACTGATGATGTGAATGTCAGGATAGGACTGATGATGTGAATGTCAGGAAGTGAATGTCAGGAAGTGAATGTCAGGATAGGACAGTGAGGATGTGAATGTCAGGATAGGACTGAGGATGTGAATGTCAGGATAGGACTGAGGATGTGAATGTCAGGAAGTGAATGTCAGGAAGTGAATGTCAGGATAGGACAGTGAGGATGTGAATGTCAGGATAGGACTGAGGATGTGAATGTCAGGAAGTGAATGTCAGGAAGTGAATGTCAGGATAGGACAGTGAGGATGTGAATGTCAGGATAGGACTGAGGATGTGAATGTCAGGATGTGAATGTCAGGATAGGACAGTGAGGATGTGAATGTCAGGATGTGAATGTCAGGATAGGACTGATGATGTGAATGTCAGGATAGGACTGAGGATGTGAATGTCAGGATAGGACTGAGGATGTGAATGTCAGGAAGTGAATGTCAGGATAGGACTGAGGATGTGAATGTCAGGAAGTGAATGTCAGGATAGGACTGAGGATGTGAATGTCAGGAAGTGAATGTCAGGATAGGACAGTGAGGATGTGAATGTCAGGATAGGACAGTGAGGATGTGAATGTCAGGATAGGACAGTGAGGATGTGAATGTCAGGATAGGACTGAGGATGTGAATGTCAGGATAGGACTGAGGATGTGAATGTCAGGATAGGACTGAGGATGTGAATGTCAGGAAGTGAATGTCAGGATAGGACTGAGGATGTGAATGTCAGGAAGTGAATGTCAGGATAGGACTGATGATGTGAATGTCAGGATAGGACTGAGGATGTGAATGTCAGGAAGTGAATGTCAGGATAGGACAGTGAGGATGTGAATGTCAGGATAGGACAGTGAGGATGTGAATGTCAGGATAGGACAGTGAGGATGTGAATGTCAGGATAGGACTGATGATGTGAATGTCAGGATAGGACTGAGGATGTGAATGTCAGGATAGGACTGAGGATGTGAATGTCAGGAAGTGAATGTCAGGATAGGACTGAGGATGTGAATGTCAGGAAGTGAATGTCAGGATAGGACTGATGATGTGAATGTCAGGATAGGACTGATGATGTGAATGTCAGGATAGGACTGAGGATGTGAATGTCAGGATAGGACTGAGGATGTGAATGTCAGGAAGTGAATGTCAGGATAGGACTGAGGATGTGAATGTCAGGAAGTGAATGTCAGGATAGGACTGAGGATGTGAATGTCAGGATAGGACTGAGGATGTGAATGTCAGGAAGTGAATGTCAGGAAGTGAATGTCAGGATAGGACAGTGAGGATGTGAATGTCAGGATAGGACTGAGGATGTGAATGTCAGGATGTGAATGTCAGGATAGGACAGTGAGGATGTGAATGTCAGGATGTGAATGTCAGGATAGGACTGATGATGTGAATGTCAGGATAGGACTGAGGATGTGAATGTCAGGATAGGACTGAGGATGTGAATGTCAGGAAGTGAATGTCAGGATAGGACTGAGGATGTGAATGTCAGGAAGTGAATGTCAGGATAGGACTGAGGATGTGAATGTCAGGAAGTGAATGTCAGGATAGGACAGTGAGGATGTGAATGTCAGGATAGGACAGTGAGGATGTGAATGTCAGGATAGGACAGTGAGGATGTGAATGTCAGGATAGGACTGAGGATGTGAATGTCAGGAAGTGAATGTCAGGATAGGACTGAGGATGTGAATGTCAGGAAGTGAATGTCAGGATAGGACTGAGGATGTGAATGTCAGGAAGTGAATGTCAGGATAGGACTGAGGATGTGAATGTCAGGAAGTGAATGTCAGGATAGGACAGTGAGGATGTGAATGTCAGGATAGGACAGTGAGGAAGTGAATGTCAGGATAGGACTGAGGATGTGAATGTCAGGATAGGACTGAGGATGTGAATGTCAGGAAGTGAATGTCGGGAAGTGAATGTCGGGATAGGACAGTGAGGATGTGAATGTCAGGATAGGACTGAGGATGTGAATGTCAGGAGGTGAATGTCAGGATAGGACAGTGAGGATGTGAATGTCAGGAAGTGAATGTCAGGAGAGGACAGTGAGGATGTGAATGTCAGGAAGTGAATGTCAGGAAGTGAATGTCAGGAGAGGACAGTGAGGATGTGAATGTCAGGAGAGGACAGTGAGGATGTGAATGTCAGGAAGTGAACGTCAGGAAGTGAACGTCAGGAGAGGACAGTGAGGAAGTGAATGTCAGGAAGTGAACGTCAGGAAGTGAATGTCAGGAGAGGACAGTGAGGATGTGAATGTCAGGAAGTGAATGTCAGGAAGTGAATGTCAGGAAGTGAACGTCAGGAAGTGAATGTCAGGAGAGGACCGTGAGGAAGTGAATGTCAGGAAGTGAATGTCAGGAGAGGACAGTGAGGATGTGAATGTCAGGAAGTGAACGTCAGGATAGGACAGTGAGGATGTGAATGTCAGGAAGTGAACGTCAGGAGAGGACAGTGAGGATGTGAATGTCAGGAAGTGAATATCAGGAGAGGACAGTGAGGATGTGAATGTCAGGAAGTGAATGTCAGGAAGTGAACGTCAGGAAGTGAACGTCAGGAAGTGAACGTCAGGAAGTGAATGTCAGGAGAGGACAGTGAGGTGTTGTAGCAGGACTCACTCTTGTCACTACAGCAGACGTGGCACAGCTCGTCAGTCTCGTCCTTTCCCTCCACGCTGGCACAGGTACAGACCTCCAGACCATACTTCTCACAGATGGAGCCAGAGCAGCCCTGGAGGAACACATGGAAGGGATGAGCTATCATTTGACATCGTAGTCATTTAGCAGACACTTATCCAGAGCGACTTAAAGTTAGTGCATTTAGCTTAGCTAGTCAGAGTAAGTAGATTTTTTTTCTCAATAAAGTAGCTATCAGCAAAAGTCAGTGCTAGTAAGAAAATACATAACTTTTATTTCCCTGTGAGGAAAATTCATACGTGGTGACTGATTGGACAAGACACAGATCAACCTAGCAGACAACATACCCAATGAAAATGAGAAGCATTCCATTCTACCAGAAATAAAAACAGCGCAGGTCAGAGCAGATTCTGGGCTGAGTTGAGGAGTTGAAGAGCCTGGAATACGTTGGTACAGAACTAGACGATAGGTTTACACACTACAGGTACCCACTCACCCCATTGAGGCAGACTTGAGTTTCTCCGTGACAGGCGGTGAAGTTGGCCTTGGGTTCAGAGGTGGGGCACTGGGCCGTACCCCCGTTACACATGCCCTGGTGGGCACACTCAGACTCCTCACGACACTTCTCATTACGGCCCTTATAGAAGCACTCAGGAGTACAGCACGGGCCCTGGCTAGGACTGTTGGAGGGAGTGATGAAAGGTTTCAATGAGTATTATGGCAAATACACCCTTTCTGACACAAAATAACAAAATGACAGAAATAGGCCTCGGCACACATCAATCCACGTCATTTTGACACTGTTAGACAGAACCTAACACTGGACCACAGCTACTCTGTCAGGTTAACTTCCTGGACCACAGCTACTCTGTCAGGTTAACTTCCTGGACCACAGCTACTCTGTCAGGTTATCTTCCTGGACCACAGCTACTCTGTCAGGTTAACTTCCTGGACCACAGCTACTCTGTCAGGTTAACTTCCTGGACCACAGCTACTCTGTCAGGTTATCTTCCTGGACCACAGCTACTCTGTCAGGTTATCTTCCTGGACCACAGCTACTCTGTCAGGTTAACTTCCTGGACCACAGCTACTCTGTCAGGTTAACTTCCTGGACCACAGCTACTCTGTCAGGTTAACTTCCTGGACCACAGCTACTCTGTCAGGTTATCTTCCTGGACCACAGCTACTCTGTCAGGTTAACTTCCTGGACCACAGCTACTCTGTCAGGTTAACTTCCTGCACCACAGCTACTCTGTCAGGTTAACTTCCTGGACCACAGCTACTCTGTCAGGTTAACTTCCTGGACCACAGCTACTCTGTCAGGTTAACTTCCTGGACCACAGCTACTCTGTCAGGTTAACTTCCTGCACCACAGCTACTCTGTCAGGTTAACTTCCTGGACCACAGCTACTCTGTCAGGTTAACTTCCTGGACCACAGCTACTCTGTCAGGTTAACTTCCTGGACCACAGCTACTCTGTCAGGTTAACTTCCTGGACCACAGCTACTCTGTCAGGTTAACTTCCTGGACCACAGCTACTCTGTCAGGTTAACTTCCTGGACCACAGCTACTCTGTCAGGTTAACTTCCTAGACCACAGCTACTCTGTCAGGTTAACTTCCTAGACCACAGCTACTCTGTCAGGTTATCTTCCTGGACCACAGCTACTTTGTCAGGTTAACTTCCTGGACCACAGCTACTCTGTCAGGTTATCTTCCTGTCAGGTTATCTTCCTGTCAGGTTAACTTCCTGTCAGGTTATCTTCCTGTCATCTTATCTTACCTGCAGACTTTGTTGGGTTTTAGTTTACACTTCCTGTTGTCAGGCTGGTCGGCGTCGTAGCAACACTGGTCTCTGCACTGATCGCTGTATCCACAGTCACACTCCTCCCCTGGCTCCACTAACCCATTACCACAGATGGGCTGGCCAGACTCTGTATGGGGGGGGGGGGGGGTTCAGAAAGAAAACACACGTTATGAAATGACATTCAAAATAACACATTTGATCTGTAATACAGTGTAGAATTTCAGAAACGTTCCCAAAATTCCATGGCTTTCCAGAAATCCTGGTTGAAGGAACGTTTACGGAATTCTACAACCCCTACATAGTACACTCCAATCTGAAACCAACGCCATAGACACCAGTGGAAACGTACCGACAAAGCAGCTTCCCCTCTTCTTCTCCAGGACCTGGCTGATGTTCCTGACGCTACAGATGGAGAACTTGTTGTTGTTGAGCTTGTCTCCTGACGTGGCCCGGGCGTACATGATGTAGTTCCCCTTCTCCTTCTTATCCTGGATCTTAGACTCTCCCGGGGTGCACTCTGACCCCGAGTCATGCTGCGGGGGGGGGGGGGGGGGGGGAACGAGCGAAGGAAGAGCGAAGTTAGAATTTCATTGAATTGACTGGGTTACAAATAAAACATACATAGACACAGAGAGAGAGAGAAAGAGAGACAGACACAGACAGACACAGAGACAGACACAGAGAGAGAGAGAAAGAGAGAGACAGAGACAGACACAGAGACAGACACAGAGAGAGAGAGAAAGAGAGAGACAGAGACACACAGAGACAGACACAGAGACAGACAGACAGACACAGAGAACACTGCAGGTCAGGATGTGGCAGGATTAAACGCTGTATTCCATGCATCTCCCATCAGCAGGCTAGGTTATCTAACTCACCGGCGAGCCAAAGTTGTGTCCGACCTCGTGGGCGAAGGTGATGTGTGAGACTTTAGGAGGGACGTGGGAGGCGTAGTTCTGAACAGTGATGATGCCGGTATTCAGGGACTTCTTCTTCCCGTCAGAGTACAGTTTACTCTTCTCACAGATCCCTCCAGAACTCCCTGTGGACACACAGACAGGTATTAGTAAGGATCGGTCCATCTCTCCAGAACTCCCTGTGGACACACAGACAGGTATTAGTGAGGATCGGTCCATCTCTCCAGAACTCCCTGTGGACACACAGACAGGTATTAGTGAGGATCGGTCCATCTCTCCAGAACTCCCTGTGGACACACAGACAAGGTATTAGTGAGGATCGGTCCATCTCTCCAGAACTCCTGTGGACACACAGACGGGTATTAGGAGGATCGTCCATCTCTCCAACTCCCTGTGGAACACAGACAGTATTAGTGAGGATCGGTCCATCTCTCCGAACTCACTGGGGACACACAGACAGGTGGTCTCCTGAGTGGCGCAGTGTCTAAGGACTGCATCGCAGTGCTAACTGTGCCACTAGAGATCCTGTTCGAATCCAGCTCTGTCGCAGCCGGCCGCGACCGGAGACTCATAGGCGGCGCACAATTGGCCCGCGTCGTCCAGGGTAGGGAGGGATGCGGCAGGGATGTAGCTCAGTTGATAGAGCATGGCGTTTGCAACGCCAGGTTGTGGGTTCGATTCCCACGGGGGGCCAGTATAAAAAATTTTATTCACTAACTGTAAGTCGTCTCTGGATCAAGAGCGTCTGTAAGACTAAATGTAAATGAAATGTATTAGTGAGGGTCAGTCCATCCCACCAAGATCCATAATACAACAAAAATATTTTGGAGGGGTGTATGATCCCAGCGGGAATTTAACCCATGACCTTGGCATTGCAGCGCCATGGTATTACCAACTGAGCCAGACAGGACCAGTAGTTGTGTGTCAGTGTCTAATTTCTATTAAAAAAAAAAAAAAAAAAGAAGTTAGTCCGTCGGTACCTGCAGGAGCGCCGACCCAGGCCAGACCCAGGACACCGTCATCAAAGTCCCTGTCAGTGAAGACGTACGCCAGACAGTAGTCGTCATGGTTCTGCTCAGAATTCAGCTCCAGGAACTTCTCCACGCCGATGTTAGCGAAGCGGAACGGGTTGGACCGGTCCCGCTCATCTGTAGTGGTGTTGATCTGGAGCAGGGAGTGGCCACATGTTAAGACATAACACAGGATATGTTAAAACGGGAAGTGACATCACGACAGACAACCGGAAGTGGTAACCGGAAGTTATAGTGATGACTGATCTAAAATGCCACTTAAGTTTAAAGAGGAGACTCAGAGGAGGCTGAAGGGAGAACTTTTAAATTGGTAAAATGTGAAACAGTTTGTGACAACTGTTGATGAAAAAAGGGCTTTACAAATACATATTTATTGATTGAATTGAATGATGCCAGGTAGAAAACCACTGTCTAGGGACTCACCCGTATTCTCTTCACCATGAAGCTGATGTTACGGATTCCCATGAAGTCTGTTCCCTGGTAGATGGCATCAATAGCCTTGATGTGGCTTGAGATCTGGAACAACACAACAAGAAGCATCAGTATTCAAGTCATTATTCCGGAATGGCAAAAACTGCAGCTTCTGAAAGCATCTTGTAACGCCAAGGTAGTGGGTTCGATCCCCGGGACCACCCATACACAAAAAATGTATGCACACATGACTGTAAGTCGCTTTGGATAAAAGCGTCTGCTAAATGGCATATTATATGAATATTATTTTCATCATCTTGACACACAGTTCTAAACATTGTTGACATGTTTCCCCATCCCCAAAGAACCCAGTATCACACACACACACACACACACACACACACACACACCCGTGTTGTGTATCGTCCAGTACCTGTGCGATAACAGCCTGCCTGGTCTTATAGTACTTGAAGAAGAGGTGGTCTGTCTGGATGAAGAGCTGACAGGTGTTCTTCTCTATCTGAGTCATCCTCCTCTTCCTCAGCAACACCGGGTCACTGGACGCCTCCTCAGAATGGAGCTCCTGGGAGGAGGGTTGGAGAGGAAGAGGGGAGGAGGAGGAGGAGAAGAGGGTTGGAACGGGGGATTAAAGACTATTATTTTAGACTGTATTGTACCAACATCTCCCCATGAGGAAAATAAAGCCCTAATCTTATAGTTTCATAGTATTATACAAATATTTTTGGCTGAAGCACTGATGAGACGTTGAGTCGAGGATTTGATGCAAGATGCAGTATGTTAGTATCCACTCCAGTTAAAAATACTTACATGGAGTATCATCACATAGTTAAATACACACAGAGTATAACAAACATTAGGAATAACTTCCTAATATTGAGTTGCACCCCTTTTACCTTCAGAACAGCCTCAATTTGTCGGGGCATGGACTCTACAAGGTATCGAAAGCATTCCACAGGGATGCTGGCCCATGTTGACTCCAATGCCTCCCACAGTAAAACTGTTGAGTGTGAAAAACCCGCCAGCGTTGGGAGTTCTTGACACAAACCGGTGCGCCTGGCTCCTACTACCATACCCCGTTCAAAGGCACTTACATATTTTGTCTTGCCCATTCACCCTCTCTCTGAATGGCACACATACACAATCCATGTCTCAATTGTCTCAAGGCTTAAAAAATCCTTCTTTAACCCGTCTCCTCCCCTTCATCTACACTGATTTGAAGTGGATTTAACAAGTGACATCAAGCTTTCATAGATGTCACCTGGTCAGTCTGTCACAGAAAGAGGTGTTCCTAATGTTTTGTACACTCAATGTATGTACAGTAGTGCACTACTTTTGACCAGATCCCATAGGGTTCCTGATCCAAAGTAGTGCACTATATAGGGAATTATGGTGTCATTTGGGACACCCCCCCAGTCTGTTAACTCACCTTGTTTGGCTCCTCCATGGCGGTGGCCTGGTACTTCCTCATCCTCTCAAACACTGAGCGGTCGGCACAGCCCCCCTCCGAGCCGTACTTGTGAGGGTAGTCTAGGGGAGAGAGACAGACATGTTTGTTTAGATTACCTGAAGTAACATTTGCCACCTTCACGACCTGCCACTTCATCAGCTACTCTTGAATGTAACCAGAGAGCTACTCTTGAATGTAACCAGAGAGCTACTCTTGAATGTAACCAGAGAGCTACTCTTGAATGTAACCAGAGAGCTACTCTTGAATGTAACCAGAGAGCTACTCTTGAATGTAACCAGAGAGGTACACTACCGTTCAAAAGTTTGGAGTCACTTAGAAATGTCCTTGTTTTCGAAAGAAAAGCAATTTTCTGGTCCATTAAAATAACATCAAATTAATCAGAAATACAGTGTAGACATTGTTAATGTTGTAAATGGCTAATGTAGCTGGAAACTGCTGATTTTTAATGGAATATCTACATAGGCGTACAGAGGCCCATTATCAGCAACCATCAGTCCTGTGTTCCAATGGCACGTTGTGTTTGCTAATCCAAGTTTTATTTTAAAAGGCTAATTGATCATTAGAAAACTATTTTGCAATTATGTTAGCACAGCTGGAAATGGTTGTGCTGATTAAAGAAGCAATAAAACTGGCCTTCTTGAGACTAGTTGAGTATTTGGAACATCAGCAATTGTGGGTTCGATTACAGGCTCAAAATGGCCGGAAACAACTAACTTTCTTCTGAAACTCGTCAGTCTTTCTTGTTCTGAGAAATGAAGGCTATTCCATGCGAGAAATTGCCAAGAAACTGAAGATCTCGTACAACGCTGTGTACTACTCCCTTCACAGAACAGCGCAAACTGGCTCTAACCAGAATAGAAAGAGGAGTGGGAGGCCCCGGTGCACAACTGAGCAAGAGGACAAATACATTAGACTGTCTAGTTTGAGAAACAGACGCCTCACAGGTCCTCAACTGGCAGCTTCATTAAATAGTACCCTACAGATGACTGATTAGTCTACAGTACAGATGACTATTAGAGGACACGTACCTTTATATCAGTTAACATCAAATCAAAATGTTATTTGTCACATACGCGTGTTTAGCAGATGTTATAGCGGGTGTAGCGAAATGCTTGTGCTTCTAGTTCCGACAGTGCAGTAAAATATCTAACAATTTCACAACATATACCCAATACACACAAAACTAGTAAGGAATGGGATTTAAGAATATATACATATATGGACAAGCAATGACAGAGCGGCATGGACTAAGATACAGTAGAATATTATAGAATAGAATGCAGTATATACATATGAGATGAATAGTGCAAGATATGTAAACATTATTAAAGTGACTAGTGTTCCATTTCTTAAAGTGGCCAGTGATTTCAATAGGCAGCAGCAGCCTCTAATGTGCTAGTGATGGCTATTTAACAGTCTGATGGCCTTGAGATAGAAGCGGTTTTTCATTCTCTCGGTCCCAGCTTTGATGCACCTGTACTGACCTCGCCTTCTGGATGATAGCGAGGTGAACAGGCAGTGGCTCGGGTGGTTAATGTCCTTGATGATATTTTTGGCCTTCCTGTGACATCAGGTGCTGTATGTGTCTTGGAGGGCGGGTAGTTTGCCCCCGGTGATATGTTCGGCAGACCGCATCACCCTCTGGAGAGCCCTGCGGTTGTGGGCGGTGCAGTTGCCGTACCAGGCGGTGATACAGCCCAACAGGATGCTCTCAATTGTGCATCTGTAAAAGTTTGTGAGGGTTTTAGGAGCTAAGCCGAATTTCTTCAGCCTCCTGAGGTTGAAGAGGCTCTGTTGCGCCTTTTTCACCACACTGTCTGCGTGAGTGGACCATTTCAGTTTGTCGGTGATGTGTATGCCAAGGAACTTGAAGCTTTCCACCTTCTCCACTGCGGTCCCGTCGATGTGGATAGGGGGGGTACACCCTCTGCTGTTTCCTGAAGTCCACGATCATCTCCTTTGTTTTGTTGATGTTGAGTGAGAGGTTATTTTCCTGGCACCACACTCCCAGAGCCCTCACCTCCTCCCTGTAGGCGGTCTCGTCAGTGTTGGTAATCAAGCCTACTACTGTTGTGTCGTCTGCAAACTTGATGATTGAGTTCGAGGCGTGCTTGGCCATGCGGTCATGGGTGAACAGGGAGTACAGGAGGGGGCTGAGCACGCACCCTTGTGGGGCCCCAGTGTTGAGGATCAGTGAAGTGGAGATGTTGTTTCCTACCTTCACCACCTGGGGGCGGCCCGTCAGGAAGTCCAGGACCCAGTTGCACAGGGCGGGGTTCAGACCCAGGGCCCCCGAGCTTTAATGATGAGCTTGGAGGGTACTATGGTGTTGAAGGCTGAGCTATAGTCAATGAACAGCATTCTTCCATAGGTATTCCTCTTGTCCAGATGGGATAGGGCAGTGTGCAGTGTGATTAGTCTACAGTACAGATGACTATTGGGAGGACACGTACCTTTATATCAGTTAACATAAAAAGGCACACCACAGCAGCATCTCAGGTTGTTTTATTGAGCTGTGGTGTCTGAGAGAATGATTCCCAGTCACTCAGCTAATTGATCTCTCCTCTCCCTAGGGGGCAGCACTGAGCCTATCTCGATTCTCCAGATGGAATATGAACAGGCGCTCACACACACACAATTAAAAGATGACAAGAGGGTACATCAAAAGTGTGTGTTTGTATAGTGAAAGGAGCTGTATACTCCAGTACACACACATACTAGAGTACTTACTGATGTCATCCTCGTGGTAGATAACTGAGTGGAAGGGAACGTCCCGGTCCTTCAGGTATCTCTCAGCTGGCTCGACGTAGAAAGTCCCCTGGTACGTCTGGATGAAGCCCTCAAACAACCCATCCACCACAGACCCATGGCTCAAGGTACCTTTCTCACCTACGGAGAGAGAGAGGGTGGATGAGGAAGACGGAAACAACAACAAAATTTTGAGGAACAGAATCAGAACCAGAAACGTAAGTGATCCATACTGTTCCGGAACAGAACCGTTATTTTAAAAAGCATGGGAACCGGTTACTAAATGTTATTTTACATTCCGGGTATTTTCCTCAGTCCACACAAAAAAAACACAAAGCGCCTATGCAAAGCGCCCTCACTCAGTCACCCAGAAACGTATTCCAGTGTCTGTCTGCCAGCTGAGCATCTTTACCAACAGAAACGTATTCCAGTGTCTGTCTGCCAGCTGAGCATCTTTACCAACAGAAACGTATTCCAGTGTCTGTCTGCCAGCTGAGCATCTCTACCAACAGAAACGTATTCCAGTGTCTGTCTGCCAGCTGAGCATCTTTACCAACAGAAACGTATTCCAGTGTCTGTCTGCCAGCTGAGCATCTTTACCAACAGAAACGTATTCCAGTGTCTGTCTGCCAGCTGAGCATCTTTACCAACAGAAACGTATTCCAGTGTCTGTCTGCCAGCTGAGCATCTTTACCAACAGAAACGTATTCCAGTGTCTGTCTGCCAGCTGAGCATCTTTACCAACAGAAACGTATTCCAGTGTCTGTCTGCCAGCTGAGCATCTTTACCAACAGAAACGTATTCCAGTGTCTGTCTGCCAGCTGAGCATCTTTACCAACATGTGTGCATGTAGGCTACCTGCCCCTCCCCTCTGAAGCATACTCTAGTAGCTTCTAACTACTAAGCGGCAAGTAACTTAGTGGTTAAGAGCGTTGTGACAGTAACCGAAAGGTCGCTGGTTCTAATCCCCGAGCCGACTAGGTGAAAAATCTGTCGATGTGCCCTTGAGCAAGGCGCTTAACCCTAATTGCTCCTGTAAGTAGCCTATTGACATTACAAGCATGATTAAGAAATTAGGGAGACATTTTTAAATTAGAGATGAATGGATTAACCTTTTCAATGCTAGTTAAGGATATTATAGTTATCACGTTTCACATTGGATTTATTAACTACAAAAAAGGTGAGATGTGTTTTTATTTTAATTCTGGTGCCAATCTGCACACACAAGCTTGTTAGCTAGCATGCTAGCTCTGGACCAACATTAACGGTCAGTGCTCTTCGAATGTCTCTGAAGTTCAAAGACATTCAAAGTTCCTTCATAGAAGCCGCTTCTCCGTAGGTATAATTCTGTGGGTCCTAATTCAGATAATGCATGTCGTAACGACAAGATGCCCAGCGCTTCAAGCCAAGCCTCCTCCACCCTCTCTCCACACCCGCAAAATTTCAGTCGCATCTCGTGCCCTACGCTTGTCTGTCCAATGCATGTAATTAGCTTGCCCGCTCCATAGCAAGCTTCTCTATCCGCACTGATCGGTGAAGTCATTTAATTTGATTTCAGAGGTTTAAAAAGGAACAGAAATAAACAATATAGAAATGTATGCACTCACTAACTGTAAGTAGCTCTGAATAAGAGCGTCTGCTAAATTACTAAAATGTAAATGTAAATACACACATTTATAATATAAACAGTTGTTTTTTTGGGTTAGAAAACTGTTCAGAACTTTATTTTGCTGGTCAGAACATTAAAAAAAAAAAAAATAATAATAATAATAATAATAATAATCTGTTCAGAACTAAATAATTGATAATAATTTAGGTTCCAACCCGTTAGAGACCCAAATGGAAGAAACTGGACTGAAACAGGGAAGGGAGGAACGGATAGACTACCTGGACTTGGCCAATAAGTTATTTTTCCAAAACTACCGCAACCTCACTCAGGCAATCTTCTCTTGGTTTAGATAGATGCATGGAACCGTGTCCTCCGGGGAGGGATTTCTCTTGGTTTAGATAGATGCATGGAACCGTGTTCTCCGGGGAGGGATTTCTCTTGGTTTAGATAGATGCATGGAACTGTGTCCTCCGGGGAGGGATTTCTCTTGGTTTAGATAGATGCATGGAACCGTGTTCTCCGGGGAGGGATTTCTCTTGGTTTAGATAGATGCATGGAACCGTGTTCTCCGGGAAGGGATTTCTCTTGGTTTAGATAGATGCATGGAACCGTGTTCTCCGGGAAGGGATTTCTCTTGGTTTAGATAGATGCATGGAACCGTGTCCTCCGGGGAGGGATTTCTCTTGGTTTAGATAGATGCATGGAACCGTGTCCTCCGGGAAGGGATTTCTCTTGGTTTAGATAGATGCATGGAACTGTGTCCTCCGGGGAGGGATTTCTCTTGGTTTAGATAGATGCATGGAACTGTGTCCTCCGGGGAGGGATTTCTCTTGGTTTAGATAGATGCATGGAACCGTGTTCTCCGGGGAGGGATTTCTCTTGGTTTAGATAGATGCATGGAACCGTGTCCTCCGGGGAGGGATTTCTCTTGGTTTAGATAGATGCATGGAACCGTGTCCTCCGGGAAGGGATTTCTCTTGGTTTAGATAGATGCATGGAACTGTGTCCTCCGGGGAGGGATTTCTCTTGGTTTAGATAGATGCATGGAACTGTGTCCTCCGGGGAGGGATTTCTCTTGGTTTAGATAGATGCATGGAACTGTGTTCTCCGGGGAGGGATTTCTCTTGGTTTAGATAGATGCATGGAACCGTGTTCTCCGGGGAGGGATTTCTCTTGGTTTAGATAGATGCATGGAACCGTGTTCTCCGGGGAGGGATTTCTCTTGGTTTAGATAGATGCATGGAACTGTGTCCTCCGGGGAGGAATTTCTCTTGGTTTAGATAGATGCATGGAACCGTGTCCTCCGGGGAGGAATTTCTCTTGCACAATATACAAGTTGATTGCAACACACAGCTAACACAACACATCCAGCTGAACAGGCCTGTATATAGAACTCATAGAATGGACACACACACACACACACACACACACACACACACAACACAGAGCCTTCATGAAGTATTCACACCCCTCGACTTATTCTACTTTTTGTTGTGTTACAGCCTGAATTCAAAATGGAGAAAAAAATATATAATAAATTCACCCATCTACACACCAACACCCCATAATGGCAAAGTGAAAACATGTTTTTAGATATTTTTAGCAAATGCATTGAAAATGAAATGCATAAATATCTCATTTACATACGTATTCACACCCCTGAGTCAGTTCATGTTAGAGTCACCTTTGGCAGTGATTACAGCTACGGGTCTTTCTGGGTAAGCCTCTTAAGAGCTTAGCACACCTGGACTGTACAATATTTGCCCATTATTCTTTCCAAAATTCCTCAAGCTCTGCCAAATTGGTTGTTGATCATTGCTAGACAACCATTTTCAAGTCTTGCCATGGATTTTCAAGCAGAGTTTAAGTCACAACTGACTCAGCCACTCAGGAACATTCTTCTTGGTAAGCAACTCCAGTGTACTACTTGTGTACTACGTGTATTACTTCTCCAGTGTAGATGTGTTTTATGTTATTGTCCTGCTGAAAGGTGAATTCATCTCCCAGTGTCTGATGGAAAGCAGACTTAACCAGGTTTTCCTCTAGGATTTTGCCTGTGCTTAGCTCCATTCCGTTTATTTTTTATCCTGAAAAACTCCCCAGTCCTTAATGATTACAAGCATACCCATAACATGATGCAGCCACCACTATGCTTGAAAATATGGAGAGTGGTACTCAGTAATGTGCTGTATTTGCCCCAAACATAAGACTTTGTATTCAGGACAAAAAAGTTAATTGCTTTGCAAATATTTTCTGCAGTATTACTTTAGTGCCTTGTTGCTAACAGGATGCATGTTTTGGAATATTTATATTCTATACAGGCTTCCTTCTTTTCACTCTGTCAATTAGGTTAGTATTGTGGAGTAACTACAATGTTGTTGATCCATCCTCAGTTTTCACCTATCACAGCCATTCAAATCTAAACGGTTTTAAAGTCACCATCGGCCTTATGGTGAAATCCGAGCGGTTTCCTTCCTCTCCTGCAACTGAGTTAGGAAGGACTCCTGTATCTTTGTAGTAACTGGGTGTATTGATACACCATCCAAAGTGTAATTAATAACTTCACCATGCTCAAAGGGATATTCAATGTCTGCTTTTTTTTTTTTTTTTTTTTACCAATATACAAATCTGTGTTTAAAATTCACTGCTCGACTGAAGTACCTTACAGATATAATTGTATGTGAGGGGTACAGAGATGAGGTAGTCATTCAAAAAGCATGTTAAACACTATTGTTGCACATAGAGCGAGTCCATCCAACTCATTAAGCAAATGTTTCACTCCTGACCTTATTTAGGCTTGCCATAACAAAGTGGTTGAATTGACTCAAGGCATTTCACCTTTTCATTTTGTATTAATTTGTAAAAGATTCTAAAAAAAAAAAAAAACATAATTCCACTTTGACATTATGGGGTATTGTGTATAGGCCAGTGACAAAAAAAAATCTAAAAAGTAATCAATTAAAAAAATTCAGGCTGTAACAATAAAATGTGGATAAATTCAAGGGGTGTGAAAACCTTGTGAAGGCACAGTGGAAACATCAGGTCCTCACCATATATTTCTCCGGTGTAGATGTGGGAGGTGTCATAGTTCACCTCCTGCCCTCCCACGTCCACTTTCAGGTCCTCAGCAAACAGACTGGTGTCTCTCTTCATCCTCAGGTTAAAGTGTCTGACAGACAGAAACAGAAGCAGTTTAGTACCACTTAATCCATGCCACATTTCTGTATGGTTTATTGGAGTAGGGACAGATACAAAAACACATGTAGACAAATATGTTTAGTTACATTCAGTAGCTGTCGCAGCAGCTACTCTTCCTTGGGTCCACAATATGTCCATGAACAGAGCCAAAGAAAAAAAGACACAGGCCTAGTAACACCAGGACGAGGTGTTTTGTGCTTGTGGATAGTGAGAGACAGATCTGAACAAAGTAGCAAAGTTTGGAAGACACGTTCTGAAACACCCGTCCTTCATAATGACTTGTTTATCGTTCTGAGTACACCATTGAGATTCAACGTTTCAGTTACATGGCGTTCCAATGACCCGTGATATATAGTCTCTTGTCTCAAACCCCTTTCTCCTGTGACCCTGTATTATGTTATAAACATGTGGCACTGAACGTGTGCCTCCAGGCCTGGGAGTGGGTCGGAACCGTTTAAATATCAAGCATAGAATGTCTGTTCTATAGAATCCATTTCTATGGTCTGAACACGGCAATACTACGGTTCAGGTTGTTATTGTACAAGAGAGTGTGTTTTTAATGTGTTCTCAATAACACAAAAATTACATAAATAAAAAGTAAAATAAATACAAATATAATAATCTCTGGACGGAACTAGGCCTTTATTTCTCAGGAGAAAATAAAATGCAAATGAAGCGAGATGCAGAGAGTTAAAAGACCATTGGCTCAGCTGAAAATTAAAACATTTATTCAATTTTTTCCCCCTGCATTTCTTTTTTTCTGCTCTGATCGTGAAAGAGCAGTAAACATTATTTCCATCTCCAACAGAGAAATGAGGTCATCTTAAAAAACATGCGGCTTTCCTGCATTTTAAATGATTTAAAAAAAATCAGCCTAAAAGTAACATTGTAAATAATTGAAGAACGAAATTCATTTCGTTCTGTATGGCTCCTCAAACACTAGAACAGTGAAAGAAGAGAATTTTGAGTTGGCCAACATCAGTGACTTCTCCCAAAATAAAACGACAAAGAGGTGTATATAGCATAGGGACAGAGACATCAACAACTAGTCCACGGTCGCCCAGTGTGGCACCCCCTTCTCCAACCGGGCGCCCAGTGTGGCACCCCCTTCTCCAACCGGGCGCCCAGTGTGGCACCCCCTTCTCCAACCCGGGCACCCAGTGTGGCACCCCCTTCTCCAACCCGGGCACCCAGTGTGGCACCCCCTTCTCCAACCGGGCACCCAGTGTGGCACCCCCTTCTCCAACCCGGGCACCCAGTGTGGCACCCCCTTCTCCAACCGGGCACCCAGTGTGGCACCCCCTTCTCCAACCGGGCACCCAGTGTGGCACCCCCTTCTCCAACCGGGCACCCAGTGTGGCACCCCCTTCTCCAACCCGGGCGCCCAGTGTGGCACCCCCTTCTCCAACCCGGGCGCCCAGTGTGGCACCCCCTTCTCCAACCGGGCACCCAGTGTGGCACCCCCTTCTCCAACCGGGCGCCCAGTGTGGCACCCCCTTCTCCAACCGGGCACCCAGTGTGGCACCCCCTTCTCCAACCGGGCACCCAGTGTGGCACCCCCTTCTCCAACCGGGCGCCCAGTGTGGCACCCCCTTCTCCAACCGGGCGCCCAGTGTGGCACCCCCTTCTCCAACCGGGCGCCCAGTGTGGCACCCCCTTCTCCAACCGGGCGCCCAGTGTGGCACCCCCTTCTCCAACCGGGCGCCCAGTGTGGCACCCCCTTCTCCAACCGGGCACCCAGTGTGGCACCCCCTTCTCCAACCGGGCACCCAGTGTGGCACCCACTTCTCCAACCGGGCACCCAGTGTGGCATAATTTATTTATTTCAATTGACTGATTTTTTATATGAACTGTAACTCATCAAAATCTTTGAAATGGTTGCATGTTGTGTTTGTATTTTTGATTTTTGTTCAGTATACATTATGGCATGACCTGGAATGATACAGAGAAGTTTTCTAACGCTTCCCCGGTCTGGACAACCTGGGGAGGGGGTAGAAGGATTACTTTATCCTATCCCAGGTATTCCTTAAAGAGGTGGGGTTTCAAGTGTCTCCGGAAGGTGGTGAGTGACTCCGCTGTCCTGGCGTCGTGAGGGAGCTTGTTCCACCATTGGGGTGCCAGAGCAGCGAACAGTTTTGACTGGGCTGAGCGGGAACTGTGCTTCCGCAGAGGTAGGGGGGCCAGCAGGCCAGAGGTGGATGAACGCAATGCCCTCGTTTGGGTGTAGGGACTGATCAGAGCCTGAAGGTACGGAGGTGCCGTTCCCCTCACAGCTCCATAGGCAAGCACCATGGTCTTGTAGCAGATGCAAGCTTCAACTGGAAGCCAGTGGAGTGTGCGGAGGAGCGGGGTGACATGAGAGAACTTGGGAAGGTTGAACACCAGACGGGCTGCGTCGTTCTGGATAAGTTGTAGGGGTTTAATGGCACAGGCAGGGAGCCCAGCCAAAAGCGAGTTGCAGTAATCCAGACGGGAGATGACAAGTGCCTGGATTAGGACCTGTGCCGCTTCCTGTGTAAGGCAGGGTCGGGTCACCGCCTTGATGTTAGCGGAGAACGACAGGGTGTTGTCCCAGAGAAGTTTTCTAATGCTCACTAGCTTCGTCCTCCTTTTTGAGATCTTGCCCCGTGCTCTAATCAGGGTTTCCCAAACTCGGTCCCGGGGCCCATCCTGGGTGCACGTTTAGTTTTTTGCCCTAGCACTACACAGCTGATTCAAATAACCAAAGCTTGATGATGAGTTGGTTATTTGAATCAGCTGTGTAGTGCTAGGGCAACAACCAAAACGTTCACCAAGGAGGGGCCCCAGGACCAAGTTTTGGAAACAACTGGCTAGTTTGCCTGTCTGTAAAGAGAAGGGCGGGCTATATGTTGATCCTATTGCTCTGATTGGACAGGGCGAAGCGGTCTCCGTTCACTCGCTTCATATTTTACCCGATCACGTCTCATCGCATTTTTTTCAGTATTCACACGCAACAACTGTAGTTTAGACACTGACCACAACTACTGAACCATACACCTACTGACCACACCTACTGAACCATACACCTACTGACTACACCTACTGAACCTTACACCTACTGAACCACAACTACTGAACCATACACCTACTGAACCATACACCTACTGAACCATACACCTACTGACCACAACTACTGACCACAACTACTGAACCATACACCTACTGAACCATACACCTACTGAACCACACACCTACTGAACCACACAACTACTGAACCACACAACTACTGATCACAACACAGCTACTGACCACAACACAACTACTGACCACAACAACACAGCTACTGACCATAACTACACAACTACTGACCACAAAAACACTTTTAAAGAGCTGTCATCATTAGATTCACCATCATATGCATCTCGCCAAATAATAGCCTAAAACTTTCTAATCATCACATCACCATTCAACTAAAATCAAACTTCATTTACACTGAAAGTTTTACAAAAGTAAATTGTGCATCTATTTAATCGGAATGCCTCAGAGTTGCGTTGCTTTCCTAAGAGCGTTGTCCACGTGACCTGGTCTTATATTTCCATTTCCTGACAGAAGATCTGTTTGTCCGATGTCTTTCTTCTTTCAGTTCACACACACAACAACTGTAGCGTCGACATGTTTGTGATCCAACTGCCCCACAATCCAAAGTAACATGGTTGATACACACCACCGGTCAAACGTTTTAGAACACCTACTCATTCAAGGGGTTTTCTTTATTTTTTTTTACTATTTTCTACATTGTAGAATAACAGTGAAGACATCAAAACTATGAAATAACACATATGGAATCATGTAGTAACAAAAAAAAGTGTTAAACAAATATATTTTATATTTGAGATTCTTCAAATAGCCACCCTTTGCCTTGATGACAGCTTTGCACACTCTTGGCATTCTCTCAACCAGCTTCATGAGGTAGTCACCTGGAATGCATTTCATTTAACAGGTGTGCCGTCTTAAAAGTTAATTTGTGGAATTTCTTTCCTTCTTAATGCGTTTCAGCCAATCAGTTGTGTTGTGACAAGGTAGGGGGGTATACAGAAGATAGTCCTATTTGGTAAAAGACCAAGTCCATATTATGGCAAGAACAGCTCAAATAAGCAAAGAGAAACGACAGTACATCATTACTTTAAGACATGAAGGTCAGTCAATACGGAAAATGTCAATAACTTTAAAAGCTATCAAGCGCTATGATGAAACTGGCTCTCATGAGGACCGCCACAGGAATGGAAGACCCAGAGTTAACTCTGCTGCAGAGGATACGTTCATTAGAGCTAGCAGCCTCAGAAATTGCAGCCCAAATAAATGCTTCACAGAGTTCAAGTAACAGACACATCTCAACATCAACTGTTCAGAGGAGACTGTGTGAATCAGGCCTTCATGGTCAAATTGCTGCAAATAAACATGCAGAGATTATCCGTTCACCTACTCTGCGCCTCACAAAGACACAGCGGTTGGAACCAAAAATCTCAAATTTGGACTCATCAGACCAAAGGACAGATTTCCACTGGTCTAATGATTGCTCGTGTTTCTTGGCCCAAGCAAGTCTCTTCTTCTTATTGGTGTCCTTTAGTAGTGGTTTCTTTGTAGCAATTTGACCATGAAGGCCTGATTCACGCAGTCTCCTCTGAACAGTTTATGTTGAGATGTGTCTGTTACTTGAACTCTGTGAAGCATTTATTTGAGGTGCAGTTAACTCTAATGAACTCTGCAGCAGAGGTAACTCTGGGTCTTCCTTTCCTGTGGCAGTCCTCATGAGAGCCAGTTTCATCATAGAGCTTGATAGTTTTTGCGACTGCACTTGAAGAAACTTTCAAAGTTCTTGAAATGTTCCGTATCGACTGACCTTCATGTCTTAAAGTAATGATGGACTGTTGTTTCTCTTTGCTTATTTGAGCTGTTCTTGCCATAATATGGACTTGGTCTTTTACCAAATAGGGCTATCTTCTATATACCACCCCTGACTTGTTACAACACAACTGATTGGCTCAAACACATTAAGAAGGAAAAAAATTCCACAAATTAACTTTTAAGAAGGCACACCTGTTAATTGAAATGCATTCCAGGTGACTACCTCATGAAGCTAGTTGAGAGAATGCCAAGAGTGTGCAAAGTTGTCATCAAGGCAAAGGGTGGCTACTTTGAATAATACAAATATATTTTGATTTGTTTAGCACTTTTTTTGTTACTACATGATTCCATGTGTGTTATTTCACAGTTTTGACGCCTTCACTATTATTCCACAATGTAGAAAATAGTAAATAAAATAAAAAGAAATCTGGAATGACTAGGGGTGTCCAAACTTTTGACTGGTACTGTATATATATACACATACACAAGCACTTACACTGAGTGTACAAAACATTAAGGACACCATCCTAATATTGAGCTGCACACCCCCGTTTTACCCTCAGAACAGCCTCAATTCGTCGGGGCACGGACTCTACAAGGTGTCGAAAGCATTCCACAGGGATGCTGGCCCATGTTGACGCCAATGCTTCCCACAGTTGTGTCAAGTTGGCTGGATGTCCTTTGGGTGGTGGACCATTCTTGATACACACAGGAAACTGTTGAGCGTGAAAAACCCGGCAGCCGTTGCAGTTCGACACACTCAAACAGGTGCACCTGGCTCCTACTACCATACCCCGTTCAAAAGGCACGTACATATTTTGTCTTGCCCATTCACCCTCTGAATGGCACACATACACAATCCATGTCTCAACTGTTTTTGAGGTTTAAAAATCCTTCTTTAACCTGTCTCCTCCCCTTCATCTACACTGATTGAAATGGATTTAACAGGTGACATCAATAAGGGGTCTTAGTTTTCACCTGGATTCACCTGGTCAGTCTGTCAGTGTATGTTAGGGACTCTGACTGATCGTCCTTATATTTCTTAATTTATTTGTTTTTATTTTGGGGGATTTGTGTGTATTGTTGGGTATTACTGCACTGTTGGAGCTAGAGACATAAGCATTTCGCTAAACATGCGATACCATCTGCAAAATATGTGTTCGCGACCAATTCAATTTAAATTTGAAATAGAACTCAATTGATTGAACAAATGTATTTCAATATGATTGGAATAGGCCTATAGCCTACTCTTTCTATACGTCGCTTGTTTGTATCAATTGCAAGACATTGGTAACTTTGTATCTGTAGTCAACTTTGTTCTGAAGTTATCTGCGGTCACAGACACGGATCAACCATGTGATTAAATGTTTAGCGGAGATCTTCTGTGTAGAAAGTGATGCGGGAGGGCAAAAAAAAAAAGCATCTAACGACGCACTTCGCTGTTGTACATGTGGCCTGAGGCTGGCGTTACATTACGACCGTTTTCAAGCACAACGTTAACAACGATGGTTTTGGGACACAGCTCGGAGATTTAACGATGCTCCAACGTTAGCCTTAGCCTTAAGATGGTTTTGGGAAACTGGGCCCTGCTACCAGGCTAAATTAATTCCAAGCCAGGACTCCCCGAGCTTTAGAGACTCCTGCTTTTCAGAGCAGCTACAGACTTCCTCCCCTCCTTTTTTATTTGTTTGTTCCCATAGACTATTTTCCCGTCCCTGTTAAGCAGTAGCATCTGAGACTAGGAGCAATGGGAGCACCAGGCTTTGCCACTGGCAGAATGAGAGAGGCCTTAGTCCCCTCCCTGCCAAGCTAGGAGCAGATCTGGGTTCAAATACTATTTGACGTTTTTCCAAATACTTTTGAGCGTTTGCTCTGGCCTGCTAGGAGTGCTAGATAGGCAGCGTTTGCAGTTTGGGGCCTACTCTAATGAGCCATTAAGCCAGGCAAGCTCAATCAAGCACAGATAAAGTATTTTAAATTTTTTAAAATTGTATTTGAACCCAGGTCAAACTAACAGCCAGATGGTCTCGACTGGGTCCCTAGCTCAGCCCTGGGAGAGAACAGAACACTACGCTCTCCCACAAAGCCAGGGAAGGCTCGGTTAGAAGATACAGGATATGAATAATGAATAATTAGGCTATGTTCTATGAAAATAATCAAAGATGAAAACAAGGCTAAACAACTTTCTTTAAAACAACAATTATGCCTATTTTATTGAGAACATCACGGTTCAGTAATTGAGGAACAAGACTCATCTTGAAGTTGAAGGTTCACACCTGGTACTTCACTTCAATATTATTATTATTATTTTTTTTTTAAACAAAATAAACCATATCACCAAAACGGACACAGAGACATACACGCACAATGAAAATATCCGGGACACTAACCTTCCGTGTGCGTGGAAGTCCAGATGGAGAAACTTATCTTGGTGGTTGAGGGCCCTCTTGACTCTCAGGTGCCTGTCGTGCAACTCATAGGAGTTATAGGACAGGCCCTCGTAGTGACGCACATATTCGTTCAGGGGGTTCCCATAATGATAACCTGGAGAGATGACAACACAGAGGAACTCAGACCACTAGAACACCTCTTCAAACCACAGGCTGTAAGCTGAATATTAACTACAATTATAGCATTTTTTTTAAATCTTCTTCTAGGCCTTAGCTATATCAACAAGCCATATAAAGATAGTAGCCTATAACTTTAAAAATAGAGTGATAATGTGACAGCACACTGGTCCTCATAACATCCATGATCCCACATTATTCTAGCCAGGCCTGGAAACCCCAATACTCTACTCATTCAGGACAAAGGCACATTCTGTGTGGAATTACATAGGATTCCTTGACTTGTGGAGGCCACCATAACGTCTGGATTTTTTTTTTCCCCACCAATGACTAAAAACTAGCAAAGACAGCAAGTGCCGTCACATTGCAGCAACGGAGTGGTAGGTCACTGAACATATAGCCTAGTCTACATCCAGGGTTCTCCCAATGATTTGTTAACAAGGTAGTGCTGCTGAGTACACCTGTAACTGACAAAAACAATCTATTAGGGTGTGGTGCCTGTCCTTAAATGATAAATAAAGTGAAGGAAAAAACAAAACACTTTTTTTTTGGGGGGGGGGGGGGGGGGTTACATAGTGGCGCAGCGCCCCACTTACATTCTTTGGGAAGAATCCTGGCATCCATACAAATATAATATATTATGGCACTATAATCTAGGCCTAATTCAATGTCTACATCCGTAAAGGCCTGGAGATTACTGCAATCTCAGTCTCAACCCTATAAATAAATCAACTGGGTGTCATAATAAAAGGCTTTAACATGGATTATAACTGAATTAGTATCACTCAGACCTGGGTTCAAACACTATTTAAAATCATTCCAAATACTTTATCTGTGCTTGGTTGAGATTACCTGTCTTCATGGACCAATAGAATAGTGGCAAAACTGCAAACCCCGCCCATCTAGCACCTCAGGCAGGTTAGAGAAAACGCTCAAAGTATTTGAATGATTTCGAATAGTATTTGAACCCAGGTCTGCCATCACTAACAGGAGCAGGTGTTCGCTGCCTGTGCCTGCTCCCAGCTACTGTCCGAGGCTAATCATTTTAGCTCATGATGTCATTAAGGTAGGTAGGCCAAACACTACATAGGATAGGAGGTTGATGGCACCTTAACAGGGGAGGATGGGCTCATGGCAATGGCTGGAGCGTAATGGTATCAAATAGTCCCGTGTAGCTCAGTTGGTAGAGCATGGCGTTTGCAACGCCAGGGTTGTGAAAATGTATGCACTCAATAACTGTAAGTTGCTCTGGATAAGAGCGTCTGCTAAATGACTAAAATGTAAATACATCAAACAAATGGTTTCCATGGTTTCCATGTGTCTGATGCCATTCCATTCACTCCTTTCCAGACATTATTATGAGCCGTCCTCCCATCAGGAGCCTCCACTGCTATATAGCTATAGGCGTGGGCATACGCTTCTATTTTCTGCATAATGAAATATTAAACTCTGACCATTAAATGTTTCATTGCGGTTGTAATAGCTTTTAGAGACTAAGGATATTTCGTATTGGCCCCGTGTAGCTCAGTTGGTAGAGCATGGCGTTTGCAGCGCCAGGGTTGTGGGTTCGATTCCCACGGGGGGCCAGTATGAAAAAATGTATGCACTCACTAACTGTAAGTCGCTCTGGATAAGAGCGTCTGCTAAATGACTAAAATGTAAATGTATTGAGTCGTTTCAGATTTTATTTGCCCAACTACCACCAAATCTGGATGCTGTTTGTTAGATACCAGTGGTCTATTTAACCTTATCTTATGATGGCTTAGTTTTCATTAATTTGACATCTGATCTTCTGCTCAACTTTTTCACAGCACTTGGCCCATATAGTATTAAGTGAACCATGAAACACATTCAAAGCTGTTCAATCACTTCTTCGTGTGATTAGCGTATGGAGGGAATTTCTAACTGACGCAAGGATGATGCAGCGGGTACAGTAGTATCATGTCAACAAGAACATCTCATTGAAAACATACCATAACATGCAGTGAGTTGCCTCTATAGATTACTCGATCAGAATGTGTCCATGAAAATAAGGAAATCGCTGTATTCACATGAATCCTATTGTATCGTTCAACCAGTGGAGGCTGGTGGGGGAGTTAGGGGAGGACGGGCTCATTGTAACGGAACGGTATCAAACATCACAGATATGGAAACCATGTTTAACTCCTTTCCAATTATTCCATTCCAGCCATTACTACTGTATTCATCGAATAACTACAACATAATACCTTGTTGCTAGCTACTGCCATTGGAAAGCTATTAGCTAGTTAGCTAGCTAACTAGTAAGCTAACAAAGATCGAAGATGTTCTCACTAGAGAGCCATTGCCATTGGGTCAAAAATGTAAAAAAAAAATAGAATAATATGTCAACAGGCATAGTTAGCTAATCACCAAGCAATATCCCTAGTTAGATAACGGTTGTTGCTAAAACGATGCTAAATTAACTGCTAGCTAATGTTGACAGAAAGTGGGCCAGCCCATCATTGCAAATGTAGTTTTGACGTTGTGCAAAAACAATTAACCGAAAGCAATGCATAATATTGCAAGCAAAATCAGATAGCCCAAATCGCTTTGCTCGTTCGTGCCGTTAAGACAACAGAATCCACCTTCTTTCTCATAACAATGGCACCTCCGCGAACTAGTTAGCTAGTAGCCTTATCGGAACCATCAATATAAATGGTAAATCATCGTTTTAAAGAAAACTAGTCTTCGCCGAGCTTAAAATAAAATATATTTCGACAACTATATAACTTTGTGGTTTGGAGTTTCTGTCAAAAAGGACACACGGCATCTTCACAACGACCAGGCCTTGGTCCGCTATGTTCGCTTCCTTCGCTAGCCTAGCCTGCTAGCCATTCGCTCGAACGCTGTCTTGGTTGGCTACTCTTCCCTTCGTGAATGTAGCCCGCTCATTCCTTCGCGATACATTATAAAATACACATGCTCTCACTCACCTTCGGTGTACTTTATTAAGTAGACGAAACAGAAGAATTTGACGAGAAGCATATCTGCTAAATCCATTGTTAGAACATTGATACCGTAATCACTTTATTGTCCTAGTTTAGGCTCAGACGCCCTGCCTGTGTTTATCGCGGCTTCCTCTCCTCTCCGCCCCGCCCCTCTCTCTTTCACGCCCTGACGTCAGACGCAGACGCAGGCCTAGGGATAAGGATTCTCCCTTCCCCCATCATCATGGAGCGATGCATTGGGAAAAGGGAATACCTAGTCATTTGTACAACCGAATGCATTCAACTGAAATATCGTAGCAGATACATCAGGTAATGTTTCAAAAGTAAAATGCAACTACATCATGTAATGTTCAGGGCATTCTTCTACTCATTGCTGAATAAATAGGGCAAAAGCCTTTTCCGGCATAATCAGACACTAAGAAAGTTAACATTTTCACATTCAACCAGAGTTAATACAGTTGTAGTACATTGATTATTTTATTTACATATTAGACAGTTATAGTATAAAATCCAGTCATTAAAGCTCATTGTGGTTTTTTTCCCTCACCCTGTCTGTCCTGCAACAAACTATACAGAGTGCTATTTGTATAAAATCAGTTTCATTGAAATTCTGTCCTTTAGTGAGACGGTCAAAAGGTCAAGGCAGGTGTTTGCCAAGCTCATCAATCCTATTCCAGCCACGCTGCTCTGGCCCCGGTGGCAGTGACGTGACAGACCTCTACATCAGCCCCCAGTCTCTGTAGCTCATCCAACCAGATCTGCTGCTTCTGGGACAGTTTGTCGCTTGGGCCCTTCACCTCCACCAGCTGGAACAATAGAATATGATAGAATTCATAGAACATCTGCTGTTTTTCTGAGACAGCCTGTCGCTTGGGCCCTTCACCTCCACCAGCTGGAACAATAGAATATGATAGAATTCATAGAACATCTGCTGTTTTTCTGAGACAGCCTGTCGCTAGGCCCCTTTACCTCCGACCAACTGGAAACAAGCGAACGCACCTCTCATCAACATGTCAACATGGGACACTAACAGACCCTAGTCATCTCAAATAAATGTGTTTAAATTCCACAGCCCCGGGCAGGCCTAGACAGTCCTGTGGGCTCACCTTGTAGGTGTTGCTGGTTGTGTTCCACACCACCAGGTCGGGCAGTCCTGCTCGGCAGTGTCTGTAGTCCTTGGCCATCCTGGTGAACATCCCTCCCAGAAACGATCCACCCAGACACGACACGAGACTCTGCAAAAGAGAGGAGACCACAGAGGGTCAGAGCAGCTCGGTACCATTACAGTAGCCAGGTAAACAACAGGCTAGTTTAACCATGCTACAATTACATACGATTTACCATAAACACAATAACCATGTTACTAACACATTCTTATACATGAAATCATAGCATAGGCTTTATAATGACTATCTGAAAGTCATATTTCTACAACTTAGCAGATGCTTTTCAACTTTAAAAGTACAGGGAGTGCAAAGTACATTTTTAGTAGGTGTATGTGATGCCTGCGGGAATTGAACCCACAACCTTGGCGTTGCTAGCACCAAAGCTACTCTTACCAACTGAGCCACACATGTCCACGTGGTTAAGTCAATGACAAACAAGATTTGTCTGTACCGACAATGCGTCATCCAATCGGTTTGAAGTGAGCCTTAACTGTAGTTACCTGTGCCCGCTGCAGAGATGAGAAGCGCTCCCAGTTGACCAGTGAACACACCCTCCCCTCCTGATTGGTCCAGGCCTCGGCCATCAGGTTGTGCAGCGTCTCATTGGACGCCTCACAGAGCACCTGCACACGCGTCTCTATCGCCTCCCTCCGGTTCCCATAGAAACAGTCTGTGAAGAGGTCCAGTGGGCAGGGCTAGGAGAGGGACAGGAAGGGCGAGGAAATATTAAATATATGCCTCGTAGCAGACACTTTTATACAGAGTCTTTCAGTACAGTGAGGGCATGCAGGTACAGCTATACGTGAGCCTTGTGGGGATTGAACCTTAAACCTTGACGTCATTACTGCCACACTTCAACCAACTGAACCACAAAGGACAGGTGTACGGTTGAGCATGTTTACCTGGTAGGGATTTCGGAAGACGTCTGGAATACCGTCCATGAAAATGACGTCCCATAACAGAAGACCAAACAGAGTGGAAAACGTGGAGCCCTCTCCATGGATCCCTATAGATAACCAAGAAAATGTTCAGTCAAACTTCACTTCCATCCATGTGGTAAGTAAGCATTTCACGGTCAAGTCTACACCTGTTGTATAATAATAATAATAATAATAATAATAATAATAATAATAATAATAATAATATGCCATTTAGCAGACGCTTTTATCCAAAGCGACTTACAGTCATGTGTGCATACATTTTTACGTATGGGTGGTCCCGGGGATCGAACCCACTACCCTGGCGTTACAAGCGCCATGCTCTACCAATTGAGCTACAGAGGACCAGTGGCTGATGTATTCAGCGCATGTGACAAATACAATTAGATTTGATTCATTAGGCTACACCGAATTACATTTCTAAGTACAGGTTCATGTGACAACAGGAGAACTTTACTGAACTTGCTATTTTCAATTGTGTTCTTTTTCTGTGAGAGCTCTGGTTTATATGTCAAATAAACTTAAAAACACGAAAACTTGACCATTTTAAAAGAAGCAACAAAAAAAAAAAAAGGAAACTTGAAAAGAAGTGAAGCAGCATACCTTGGTCACGAAAACTTGACAATTTTAAAAGAAGCAAAAAAAAAAAAAAAAACTGACACTTGAAAAGAAGTGAAGCAGCATACCTTGGTCAAAGCCTTGGCGACGGTAGTGTGCCAGTGACAGCTCTTCCACAGAACACATGACAGTGGAGTATCCCCCCTCTCTCCCCCCCTCCTCCTCAGCAGGCATGAGGAACACATTCTTCCCTGTCCCCCCCTCATGGGGGAAGAGCTGCCCCCGGATCGTGACCTAATAGACACAATACACACAGACACAATACACACATAATATCACACACACAAAACGAGTCTGGTTTTAAAACTGGATGACGTTTAGAAAGTCAAAAGACGTTATCAGTGATGTAGTGAAGCATAAACTCAACTACCCCTAAAAAATATAAAAATAAAAATAAATAAAAAAGAATAATAAAATAAAATAAAAACATTTCTCAAGTAAACCCAGTTTACCTTCCCTTTTTATTTGGGGAATAGAATTTACCCACCTCTTAACCAACATTTTAGTTTTTTGTATTAGCGTTTTACTTAACTTGCTAACAAAGATTGTCATCTCAATCGCCGCTTAGCATTTACCCATCTCTGAATATCATGTATATTTAAATCAGCGACAGAAGTGACTCACATGAGTGACATCGTTGACGTGGATGGTGGGCAGGTCACTGAGCAGGGGGCGGTACTTCTTGTAGCTGGGGGATTCCTTCATCCTATTGGCTCTTTGGTGGAGTGACAGCTGGTGGCCCGTCCTCACCAAGGGGTCAGAGAGACCGTCTCTGATGGAGCGGATAGCCTGGGATTGATACAGGGGGAATTTCAATTCAATTAACACTAATTACTGCTAGGACACAGAGAAAAAGACACACATTTAATAAATACCACGTATAAGATAGTGCAAAGTGAAATCCAGACAAACATTAACAAAGTGCAATAGTCCATAAAATACAGGATAAGTTCAGGAAGAACCATGGGACAAAGTACTTAAGAGACGGTGTGGTTGACTGACCTGTTCAGGTAGTTTGAGGTGCTGCTGGAGGTTGAGTGGTTGACTGACCTGTTCAGGTAGTTTGAGGTGCTGCTGGAGGTTGAGTGGTTGACTGACCTGTTCAGGTAGTTTGAGGTGCTGCTGGAGGTTGAGTGGTTGACTGACCTGTTCGGGTAGTTTGAGGTGCTGCTGGAGGTTGAGTGGTTGACTGACCTGTTCGGGTAGTTTGAGGTGCTGCTGGAGGTTGAGTGGTTGACTGACCTGTTCGGGTAGTTTGAGGTGCTGCTGGAGGTTGAGTGGTTGACTGACCTGTTCAGGTAGTTTGAGGTGCTGCTGGAGGTTGAGTGGTTGACTGACCTGTTCGGGTAGTTTGAGGTGCTGCTGGAGGTTGAGTGGTTGACTGACCTGTTCGGGTAGTTTGAGGTGCTGCTGGAGGTTGAGTGGTTGACTGACCTGTTCGGGTAGTTTGAGGTGCTGCTGGAGGTTGAGTGGTTGACTGACCTGTTCAGGTAGTTTGAGGTGCTGCTGGAGGTTGAGTGGTTGACTGACCTGTTCGGGTAGTTTGAGGTGCTGCTGGAGGTTGAGTGGTTGACTGACCTGTTCGGGTAGTTTGAGGTGCTGCTGGAGGTTGAGTGGTTGACTGACCTGTTCGGGTAGTTTGAGGTGCTGCTGGAGGTTGAGTGGTTGACTGACCTGTTCGGGTAGTTTGAGGTGCTGCTGGAGGTTGAGTGCCAGTCTGTCCCACCATCGCCCCCTGCTGTCTGGACAGTAGACTGACTGGGCCAATAGGGAGCGCAGCTCCTTCACCGCTTCCTGGAACACAACCGATCAGAATCAATACATTATACTACACACTGCTGTGTGTGTGTGTGTGTGCGTGTATATCGAGGTATATGAATGAGTGTGTGTATATCCAGGGTTTTTCTTTCTTTTTACTATTTTCTGCATTGTAGAATAATAGTGAAGACATCAAAACTATGAAATAACACATATGGAATCATGTAGTAACCAAAAAAGTGCTAAACAAATCAAAATATATTTTATATTTGAGATTCTTCAAATAGCCACCCTTTGCCTTGATGACAGCTTTGCACACTCTTGGCTGCTTTTCCTTCACTCTGCGGTCCGACTCATCCCAAACCATCTCAAATTGGGTTGAGGTCGGGGGATTGTGGAGGCCAGGTCATCTGATGCAGCACTCCATCACTCTCCTTTTTGGTAAAATAGCCTTTACACAGCCTGAAGGTGTGTTTGGTCATTGTCCTGTTGAAAAACAAATGATAGTCCCACTAAACCCCTTCGCTGCAGAATGCTGTGGTAGCCATGCTGGTTTAGTGTGCCTTGAATTCTAAATAAATCAGACAGTTTCACCAGCAAAGCACCCCCACACCATAACACCTCCTCCTCCATGCTTCACGGTGGGAAACACACATGCGGAGATCCAAGCAAGTCTCTTCTTCTTATTGGTGTCCTTTAGTAGTGGTTTCTTTGCAGCAATTCGACCATGAAGGCCTGATTCACAGTCTCCTCTGAACAGTTGATGTTGAGATGTGTCTGTTACTTGAACTCTGTGAAGTATTTATTTGGGCTTCAATTTTTAAGGCTGGTAACTCTAATGAATTTATCCTCTGCAGCAGAGGTAACTCTGGGTCTTCCATTCCTGTGGCGGTCCTCATGAGAGCCAGTTTCATCATAGCGCTTGATGGTTTTTGCGACTAGACTTGAAGAAACTTTCAAAGTTCTTGAAATGTTCCGGATAGGCTGACCTTCATGTCTTAAAGTAATGATGGACTGTCGTTTCTCTTTGCTTATTTGAGCTGTTCTTGCCATAATATGGACTTGGACTTTTTTCTGCATACCCCCCCTACCTTGTCACAACACAACTGATTGGCTCAAACGCATTAAGAAGGAAAGAAATTCTACAAATTAACTTTTAAGAAGGCATACCTGTTAATTGAAATGCATTCCAGGTGACTACCTCATGAAGCTGGTTGAGAGAATGCCAAGAGTATGCAAAGCTGTCATCAAGGCAAAGGGTATATATTTTTATTTGTTTAACACAAAGAAAAAACCTTGAATGAGTAGGTGTTCTAAAACTTTTGACTGGTACTGTATATTTACATTTACATTTACATTTTTAGTATATCGAGGTATATGAATATGTGTGTGTGTATATATCGAGGTATATGAATGTGTGTATGTGTATATATCGAGGTATATGAATGTGGGTGTATATCGAGGTATATGAATGTGTGTGTGTGTATATATATATATATATCGAGGTATATGAATGTGTGTATATCGAGGTATATGAATGTGTGTGTGTGTATATCCAGGTACGGTGCCTTGCAAAAGTATTCATCCCCTTGGCGTTTTTCCTATTTTGTTGCATTACAACCTGTAATTTAAATTGATTTTTATTTGGATTTCATGTAATGGACATACACAAAATATTCCAAATTGGTGAAGTGGAAGCGGCACCATGAAGACCAAGGAGCTCTCCAAACAGGTCAGGGACAAAGTTGTGGAGAAGTACAGATCAGGGTTGGGTTATAAAAAAATATCAGAAACTTTGAACATCCCACGGAGCACCATTAAATACATTATTCAAAAATTGAAAGAATATGGCACCACAACAAACCTGCAAAGAGAGGGCCGCCCACCAAAGCTCACGGACCAGGCAAGGAGGGCATTAATCAGAGAGGCAACAAAGAGACCAAAGATAACCCTGAAGGAGCTGCAAAGCTCCACAGCGGAGATTGGAGTATCTGTCCATAGGACCACTTTAAGCCGTACACTCCATATAGCTGGGCTTTACGGAAGAGTGGCCAGAAAAAAAGCATTGCTTAAAGAAAAAAAAAAGCAAACACGTTTGGTGTTCAACAAAAGGCATGTGGGAGACTCCCCAAACATATGGAAGAAGGTACTATGGTCAGATGAGACTAAAATTGAGCTTTTTGGCCATCAAGGAAAACGCTATGTCTGGCGCAAACCCAACACCTCTCATCACCCCGAGAACACCATCCCCACAGTGAAGCATGGTGGTGGCAGCATCATGCTGTGGGGATGTTTTTCATCGGCAGGGACTGGGAAACTGGTCAGAATTGAAGGAATGATGGATGGCGCTAAATACAGGGAAATTCATGAGGGAAACCTGTTTCAGTCTTCCAGAGATTTGAGACTGGGACGGAGGTTCACCTTCCAGCAGGACAATGACCCTAAGCATACTGCTAAAGCAACACTCGAGTGGTTTAAGGGAAACATTTAAATGTCTTGGAATTGCCTAGTCAAAGCCCAGACCTCAATCCAATTGAGAATCTGTGGTATGACTTAAAGATTGCTGTACACCAGCAGAACCCATCCAACTTGAAGGAGCTGGAGCAGTTTTGCCTTGAAGAATGGGCAAAAATCCCAGTGGCTAGATGTGCCAAGCTAATAGAGACATACCCCAAGAGACTTGCAGCTGTAATTGCTGCAAAAGGTGGCTCTACAAAGTATTGACTTTGGGGGGGGGGTGAGTAGTTATGCACGCTCAAGTTCTCTGTTTTTTTGTCTTATTTCTTGTCTGTATCACAATAAAAAATATTTTGCATCTTCAAAGTGGTAGGCATGTTGTGTAAATCAAATGATACATACAGTTGAAGTCGGAAGTTTACATACACTTAGGTTGGAGTCATTAAAACTCGTTTTTCAACCACCCACACATTTCTTGTTAACAAACTATAGTTTTGGCAAGTCGGTTAGGACATCTACTTTGTGCATGACACAAGTCATTTTTCCAACAATTGTTTACAGACAGATTATTTAACTTATAATTCACTGTATCACAATTCCAGTGGGTCAGAAGTTTACATACACTAAGTTGACTGTGCCTTTAAACAGCTTGGAAAATTCCAGAAAATGATGTCATAGCTTTAGAAGCTTATAATAGGCTAATTGACATCATTTGAGTCAATTGGAGGTGTACCTGTGGATGTATTTCAAGGCCTACCTTCAAACTCTCAGTGCCTCTTTGCTTGACATCATGGGAAAATCAAAATATATCAGCCAAGACCTCAGAATTATTTTTGTAGACCTCCACAAGTCTGGTTCATTCTTGGGAGCAATTTCCAAACACCTGAAGGTACCACGTTCATCTGTACAAACAATAGTACGCAAGTATAAACACCATGGGACCACACAGCCGTCATACCGCTCAAGAAGGACACGCGTTCTGTCTCCTAGAGATGAACGTACTTTGGTGTGAAAAGTGCAAATCAATCCCAGAACAACAGCAAAGGACCTTGTGAAGATGCTGGAGGAAACAGGTCCAAATGTATCTATATCCACAGTAAAATGAGTCCTATATCGACATAACCTGAAAGGCCGCTCAAAAACCGCCATAAAAAAAACAGAGTACGGTACATGGGGACAAAGATCGTACTTTTTGGAGAAATGTCCTCTGGTCTGATGAAACAAAAATAGAACTGTTTGGCCATAATGATCATCGTTATGTTTGGAGGAAAAAGGGGGATATTGCAAGCCGAAGAACGCCATTCCAACCGTGAAGCACGGGGGTGGCAGCATCATGCTGTGGGGGTGCTTTGCTGCGGGAGGGACTGGTGAACTTCACAAAATAGATGGCATCATGAGGAAGGAAAATGATGTATATATAATGAAGCAACATCTCAAGACATCAGTCAGGAAGTTAAAGCTTGGTTGCAAATGGGTCTTCCAAATGGACAATGACCCCAAGCACACTTCCAAAGTTGTGGCAAAATGGCTTAAGGACAACAAAGTCAAGGTATTGGAGTGGCCATCACAAAGCCCTAACCTCAATCCTATAGAAAAGGTGTGGGCAGAACTGAAAAAGCGTGTGCGAGCAAGGAGGCCTACAAACCTGACTCAGTTACACCAGCTCTGTCAGGAGGAATGGGCCAAAATTCACCCAACTTATTGTGGGAAGCTTGTGGAAGGCTACCCTAAACATTTGACCCAAGTTAAACAATTTAAAGGCAATGCTACCAATGAGTAATTGAGTGTATGTAAACTTCTGACCGACTGGGAATGTGATGAAATAAATAAAAGCTTAAATAAATCATTCTCTCTACTATTATTCTGACATTTCACATTCTTAAAATAAAGTGGTGATCCTAACTGACCTAAAACAGGCAATTTTTACTAGGATTAAATGTCAGGAATTGTGGAAAACTGAGTTTAAATGTATTTGGCTAAGATGTATGTAAACTTCCGACTTCAACTGTACCCCCCAAAAATAAATTTTTATTCCAGCTTGTAAGGCAACAAAATAGGAAAAATGCCAAGGGGGGTGAATACTTTCGCAAGCCACTGTATATGAATGAGTGTGTGTATATCGAGGTATATGAATGAGTGTGTGTATATATCGAGGTATATGAATGAGTGTGTGTATATATATATCGAGGTATATGAATGAGTGTGTGTATATATATATATATATATATATATATATATCTCGAGGTATATGAATGAGTGTGTGTATATATATATATATATCGAGGTATATGAATGAGTGTGTGTGTATTATTATATGGTGGTATATGATATGAGGTTTGTGGTGTATATATATATATATCGAGGTATATGAATGAGTGTGTGTATATATGGAGGTATATGAATGAGTGTGTGTATATTTCGAGGTATATGAATGAGTGTGTGTATATATCGAGGTATATGAATGAGTGTGTGTATATATATATAATATATATATATCAGGTATGATGAGTGTGATATATCGAGGTATATGAATGAGTGTGTGTATATATCGAGGTATATGAATGAGTGTGTGTATATATATATCGAGGTATATGAATGAGTGTGTGTATATATATATCGAGGTATATGAATGAGTGTGTGTATATATATCGAGGTATATGAATGAGCGTGTGTATATATATATCGAGGTATATGAATGAGTGTGTGTATATATATATATAGAGGTATATGAATGAGTGTGGTATATATATCGAGGTATATGAATGAGCGTGTATCCACCTTGTAGCAATGTAGTCTCTGTAGTACTTCTACTCCCCTGGACAGGATGCGTGTGTAGGCCCACCCTGTGGTGAAACAGCGCAGGAACACTGGCAGCCCCTCCTGGTGGCTACACACACACACACACACACACACACACACACACACACACACACACACACACACACACACACACACACACACACACACAACACACACACACACACACACACACACACACACACACACACCACACAACACACACACACACACACACACACACACACACACCACACACACACACACACACACACACACACACCACACACACACACCACACACACACACACACAACACACACTTAGTTTGGCTGGCTTACGGCTGTCCATCAACGTCGACGATAACGTCGCTTATCAAGTGATTATTGTGTGGGGGGGGGGGGGGGGGGGATTGCATTTGGCTGTGCAGGCCAATGTGAGACCCGCCTGGACACAGATCAAAGATTGTCAAAGATGGATGAATATGACGCTAGTGGACCCCGCTCCCCACCTGAGGTCGTAAGTCTTGCTCATCTCCTGCCAGGTCGTCTTGGCTGCAGTGTAAAGCGCCAGAGCGTCCTCCCAGCGGCCTGCCTGCATGGCTGTGATCACCTCTTGCAGCGCTCGCATCGCCGCCTCATACCTGCCACGACAGATAGAGGGGGTGAGTCCAATGATGTTTATTGTTCGCGTGCACCGTTTTGCAGACGCTGGTGATCGAAAAATGGAAACGCTGATGTTTCCAGCTCCAACAATGCAGCAATATCTAGCAACACAATAACAATACACACAAAAAAAACAAGAACAAAGACATTAAGACATATCAGAAACATCAGACGTCTAGGACCCAGAGTCACAGTCCGGGAATATAAATACATCTACACTGAGTGGACAAAACATTAGGAACACCAGCTCTTTCCATGACACAGACTGACCAGGTGAAAGCTATGATCCCTCATTGATGCCACCTGTTAAATCCACTTCAATCAGTGTTGATGAAGCGGAGGGGAGATTATTAAGCCTTGAGACAATTGAGACATGGATTGTGTATGTGTGCCATTCAGAGGGTGAATGGGCAAGACAAAATATTTAAGTGCCTTTGAATGGGGTATGGTAGTAGGTGCCAGGCGCACCGGTTTGAGTGTGTCAAGAACTCCCAACGCTGCTGGGTTTTTCCCCACTCAACAGTTTTCCGTGTGTATCAAGAATGGTCCACCACCCAAAGGACATCCAGCCAACTTGACACAACTGTGGGAAGCATTGGAGTCAAAATGGGCCAGCATCACTGTGGAACGCTTTCGACACCTTGTAGAGCCCATGCCCTGACTAATTGAGGCTATTCTGAGGGCAAAAGAGGGTGCAACTCAATATTAGGAAAGTGTTCCTAATGTTTTGACACTCAGTGTAAATGTTAATGGTTTATATAGACAGTATATGAATAGAACAATTATGTACAGCAGTAGTTATATAGGATGAGCCTTGACTATTTACCCATTATCGGCGTAGTAACAAACCCCCACCTCGCAACCCATGCGACCCCAAACTGTTCACACTCCTCTTGCAAAAACTAAAGCAGGAAGTACCAGTGAATCGCTCAATACGGAAGTGGTCAGATGACGCGAATGCTACGCTACAGGACTGTTTTGCTAGCACAGACTGGAATATGTTCCGGGATTCATCCAATGGCATTGAGGAGTATACCTCCTCAGTCACCGGCTTCATCAATATGTGCATCGATGACGTCGTGCCCACAGTGACCGTACGTACATACCCCAACCAGAAGCCATGGATTACAGGCAACATCCGCATTGAGCTAAAGGCTAGAGCTGCCGCTTTCAAGAAGTGGGACACTAATCCGCGTATAAGAAATCCCGCTATGCCCTCAGACGAACCATCAAACAGGCAAAGAGTCAATACAGGTCTAAGATTGAATCCTACTACACCGGCTCTGACGCTCGTCGGATGTGGCAGGGCTTGCAAACTATTACAGACTACAAAGGGAAACCCAGCCATGAGCTGCCCAGTGACGCGAGCCTACCAGACGGGCTAAATGCCTTTTATGCTCACTTGAGGCAAGCAACACTGAGGCATGCATGAGTGCACCAGCTGTTCCGGACAACTGTGGGTTCACGTTCTCCGTAGCCGATGTGAACAAGACCTTTAAAACAGGTCAACATTCACAAGGTCGCGGGGCCAGACGGATTACCAGGACGTGTACTCAGAGCATGCGCGGACCAACTGTCAAGTGTCTTTACTGACATTTTCAACCTTTCCCTGACCGAGTCTGTAATACCTACATGTTTCAAGCAGACCACCATAGTCCCTGTGCCCAAGAATGCGAAGGTAACCTGCCTAAATGACTATCGCCCCGTAGCACTCACGTCGGTAGCCATGAAGTGCTTTGAAAGGCTGGTCATGGCTCACATCAACCCCATCATCCCAGAAACCCTAGACCCACTCCAATTCACATACCGCCCCAACAGATCCACAGATGACGCAATCTCAATCGCACTACACACTGCCCTTTCCCACCTGGACAAAAGAAACACCTATGTGAGAATGCTGTTCATTGACTACAGTTCAGTGTTCAACACCATAGTGCCCACAAAGCTCATCACTAAGCTAAGGACCCTGGGACTAAACACCTCCCTCTGCAACTGGATCCTGGACTTCCTGATGGGCCGCCCCCAGGTGGTAAGGGTAGGTAACAACCGATCTGCCACGCTGATCCTCAACACGGGGGCCCCTCAGGGGTGCATGCTTTGTCCCCTCCTGTACTCCAGTTCACCCACGACTGCGTGGCCAAGCACGACTCCAACACCATCATTAAGTTTGCTGACGACAACAGTGGTAGGCCTTGATCACCAACAACGAGACAGCCTCAGAGACCAGGCAGTGTGGTGCCAGGACAAAACCTCTCCCTCAACGTGAGCAAGACAAAGGAGCTGATTGTGGAATACAGGAAAAGGAGGGCCGAACACGCCACCGTTCACATCGAGAGCTTCAAGTTCCTTGGTGTCCACATTACCAACAAACTATCATGGTCCAAACACACCAAGACAGTCGTGAAGAGGGCACGACAACACCTTTTCCCCCTAAGGAGACTGAAAAGATTTGGAATGGGTCCCCAGATCCTCAAAAGGTTATACAGCTGCACCATCGAGAGCATCCTGACGGGTTGCATCAATGCCTGTTATGGCAACTGCTCGGCCTCCGACCATAAGGCGCTACAGAGGGTAGTGCGTATGGCCCAGTACATCACTGGGGCCAGGCTTCCTGCCATCCAGGACCTCTATACCATGCGGTGTCAGAGGAAGGCCCTAAAAATTGTCAAGGACTCCAGTCACCCTAGTCATAGACTGTTCTCTCTACTACCGCACATGGCAAGCGGTACCGGAACGTCAAGTCTAGGTCCAAGAGGCTCCTTAACAGCTTCTACCCCCAAGCCATAAGGCTGCTGAACAATTAATCAAATGGCCATCCGGACTATTTACATTGACCCCCTTTTTTTTTTTTTTACACTGCTGCTACTCGCTGTTTATTATCTATGCATAGTCACTTTAACCCTACCTACATGAACAAATTACCTCGACTAACCTGTACCCCCGCACATTTACTCAGTACCGGTACCCCCTGTATATAGCCTCGTTATTGTTATTTTATTGTGTAATTTTATATTTTACTTTAGTTTATTTAGTAAATATTTTCTTAACTATTTCTTGAACTGCATTGTTGGTTAAGGTCTTGTAAGTAAGCATTTCACGGTAAGGTCTACACCTGTTGTATTAAGGCGCATGTGACAAATAACATTTGATATCTAGGAACCGCGTGCTGCCAGTTGAGCATGGGGGCATCCTATTGGATGACTAGAACGCAGTATATTCCGTGTCATCAGAAAGTATTCACACCCCTTGACACATTTTGTTGTGTTTCAAAGTGGGACTAAAATGGATTTGTCATTTTTTTGTCGACGATCCTACACAAAATACTCTAATGTCAAAGTGGAAGAAAAATTCTAACATTTGTAAAAATAAAAAAATATGACACTAAACACTAATATATCTTGATTAGATAAGTAGTCAACCCCCTGAGTCAATACATGTTAGAATCACCTTTGGCAGCGATTACAGCTGTGAGTGTTTCTGGGTACGTCTCTAAGAGCTTTGCACACCTGGATTGTTCAACATTTGCCCATTCTTCTTCTTAGAATCCTTCAAACTCTGTCAAATTGATTGTTGATCATTGCTAAACAACCACTTTCAGGTCTTGCCACAGATTTTCAAGCAGATTTAAGTCAAAACGGTGGCTCGGTGGCTACCTATCCACGGTTTTAATAATAATATATTTTTGGTTTGGATAAGTTCGGTGACGCGCAACATTTCCCAGTTCAAGCGATCAAAAACAGTCTTGAAGCATAGATTCCGATTGGTCAGACCAATGTTGAACAGTCCTTACCACGGTTGCTTCCTGCTTAAAGTTTCTGCCTATAGGCGGGGAGGAGCAGGATGGAGGCGTCGTCTGATTTGCCAAAGGGAGGGGCGGGGGGAGGACCTTGCAGTCGTCCCTGAAGGGAGAGTAACAACAGTCAAGTGTGTTCTCTCCAAATGTAGCCTTGGAGATGTGTTGATAGATTTTCGGGAGTGTTTCCTCAGATTTCCTTTATTAAAGTCCCCAGCTACAATAAATGCAGGCCTCAGGATATGTGTTTTCCTGTTTTCAGCCTCAGTTCCTCAGTTCCTTGCGAGCCGTCACTGTGTCAGCTTTGGGGGGAAATATACACGGCAGTGACAATAATCAAAGAAAATTATCTCGTGAGGTAATGCAGTCGGCATTTGATGGTAAGGTATTCCAGATCGGGAGAACAAAAGGACTTGAGTTCCTGTACGTTACCACAATCACACATTGAGTTGTTCATCATCAGACATACCCCTCCACCTCTGTTTTTCCCGGAGAGTTCTTTCTTCCTGTCCGGGCGATGAACTGAGAATCCCGCTGGCTGTATGGACGGGGACAATATATCCAGAGAGAGCCATGATTCCATAAAACAGATTATGTTACAGTCCCTTGTGTCTGTCTGAAAAGAGATCCTCACCCTGAGCTCATCTACTTTGTTGTTCAGGGACTGAACATTAGCGAGTGCTATACTCGGAAGTGGTGGACGGTTTGCTCGCCACCTGAGCCTGACTAGGACCCCACTTCTCCCTCTTCTCCGGCGTCGACGTTTTGGTCTAGCACCCGGAATAATTGGGTCTGCTTCTGAGAATCCAAACAAAGGATCCGGGTCAGGGAAATCGAATTTCTGGGTGTGACAGCCGATTTAATGTCCAAAGGTTATTTTGGGCTATAGGTAATAATACTAGAAACATTCTGATCAAATAATGTAAGAAGCACAACAACAACAACAACAACAAATACTGCAAAGTTGGCTAGGAGCTAGAAACAGGCTGACCGTGTCTGTCCGCACCATTTTGTTAATATTGGCAGAATGTGTGCCAGAGTCTAATGGTAGTGCTGCTGACTACGGATTCCATATCCGCCCTGGTGTCTAGCCCCTTCTACATGCATCTCCCTTTCTCCTTTCTGATCTTTAAACAATAAAAGGCATGAAAACCCAGGGGATTATTGTGAGAATAACACAGGACTAAGGGCTGTTCTTAGCACAACGGGAAGCGGAGTACAGATAAAATACATTTTTAAAAAAGGCTACATTGTAGCACATGTCAGAGAGGCAGGCAGCAAGGTTTATACAAACCCTCACAGTTGCAAACCCAAAAAAATGACGTCTAGATACTTTTTTCCCATGAAGTTCATGAATTGGCTGGCCTGGACTGTGGGACAGTGGATGTGCATTGAACCGCTAACAGGCATTTCCTGGGGATTGTCGTGAATAACTCCCAGCTATCAATCGATCAGCATCCAGGATCCAAACAACCCATTTTATAGTAACACCTAGATAGCCTATAGAACTCACACCTAAATAAACAACATGAACATTAGAGGTTGATCAATCAGTGTCCACAGCACTGACCAATGAGATCTGACCCAAATATACACCGTAAGCCTACACTCTAACCTGATAAGATCTTCTCTATCCAGGAACAGTTTGGCTCTGCGCTGTACGGTGTAGTCAGGGAAAGCCAGCTGGCCAGAGTTGACCAGTAGGATGGTGTAGAGCTGACCCTGACCCCCTCCGGCCGTCTCCTCCTCCTCCAGCCCGTCTGTCAGGGAGAAGAGGAGGAGAACCCGAGAGAACACGGCCCTGGGGCCGCGATGCAGACGTACACAGGAACCAGCTAGCTGCTTCGCCCTGGAGAGGAGAGATTATTAGTGTCGGAGTGTACCTGAGGATGGTTGTGTGTTTCAGGCAGCTGACCTCATCACATATGCAATCCCCTGCCTGCGTAGGTAAGAATGCCTGTCCCACTGTTCTGCCTTTCTGTACACTTTATCCCATTCCATCTGTCTCCCATTCCGTCAGTCTCCCATTCCATCTGTCTCCCATTCACTAATGTCTCCCATTCCATCTGTCTCCCATTCACTAATGTCTCCCATTCCATCTGTCTCCCATTCCGTCAGTCTCCCATTCACTAATGTCTCCCATTCCATCTGTCTCCCATTCACTAATGTCTCCCATTCCATCTGACTCCCATTCCATCTGACTCCCATTCCATCTGACTCCCATTCCATCTGACTCCCATTCACTAATGTCTCCCATTCCATCTGACTCCCATTCCATCTGACTCCCATTCCATCTGACTCCCATTCCATCTGACTCCCATTCACTAATGTCTCCCATTCCATCAGTATCCCATTCAATCAGTATCCCATTACATCAGTATCCCATTACATCAGTATCCCATTCCGTCAGTATCCCATTCCGTCAGTATCCCATTCCAGCTGTCTCCCATTCACTAATGACTCCCATTCCATCTGTCTCCCATTCACTAATGTCTCAGATTCCATCAGTCTCCCATTCACTAGTGTCTCAGATTCCATCAGTCTCCCATTCACTAATGTCTCCCATTCCATCTGTCTCCCATTCCATCTGTCTCCCATTCCATCTGTCTCCCATTCCATCTGTCTCCCATTCCATCTGTCTCCCATTCCATCTGACTCCCATTCCATCTGACTCCCATTCCATCTGACTCCCATTCCATCTGTCTCCTATTCACTAATGTCTCCCATTACATCAGTATCCCATTACATCAGTATCCCATTACATCAGTATCCCATTACATCAGTATCCCATTCCGTCAGTATCCCATTCCAGCTGTCTCCCATTCACTAATGACTCCCATTCCATCTGTCTCCCATTCACTAATGTCTCAGATTCCATCAGTCTCCCATTCACTAGTGTCTCAGATTCCATCAGTCTCCCATTCACTAATGTCTCCCATTCACTAATGTCTCCCATTCCATCAGTCTCCCATTCACTAATGTATCCCATTCACTAATGTCTCCCTTTCACTAATGTCTCCCTTTCACTAATGTCTCCCTTTCACTAATGTCTCCCTTTCACTAATATCTCCCATTCCATCAGTCTCCCATTCACTAATGTCTCCCATTCACTAATGTCTCCCATTCTATCAGTCTCCCATTCCATCAGTCTCCCATTCCATCAGTCTCCCTTTCACTATGTCTCCCATTCCATCTGTCTCCCATTCCATCAGTCTCCCATTCACTAATGTCTCCCATTCCATCAGTCTCCCATTCACTAATGTCTCCCATTCACTAATGTCTCCCATTCACTAATGTCTCCCATTCCATCAGTCTCCCATTCCATCAGTCTCCCATTCACTAATGTCTCCCATTCCATCTGTCTCCCTTTCACTAATGTCTCCCATTCCATCTGTCTCCCATTCCATCAGTCTCCCATTCACTAATGTCTCCCATTCACTAATGTCTCCCATTCACTAATGTCTCCCATTCACTAATGTCTCCCATTCCATCAGTCTCCCATTCACTAATGTCTCCCATTCCATCAGTCTCCCATTCCATCAGTCTCCCATTCCATCAGTCTCCCATTCCATCAGTCTCCCATTCCATCAGTCTCCCATTCCATCAGACTCCCATTCACTAATGTCTCCCATTCTATCAGTTTCCCATTCACTAATGTCTCCCATTCCATCAGTCTCCCATTCACTAATGTCTCCCATTCCATCAGTTTCCCATTCACTAATGTCTCCCATTCCATCAGTCTGCCATTCACTAATGTCTCCCATTCACTAATGTATCCCATTCACTAATGTATCTCATTCACAATGTCTCCCATTCCATCAGTCTCCCATTCACTAATGTCTCCCATTCCATCAGTCTCCCATTCACTAATGTATTCCTTTCCATCAGTCTCCCATTCACGAATGTCTCCCATTCACTAATGTCTCCCTTTCACTAATGTCTCCCTTTCACTAATGTCTCCCTTTCACTAATGTCTCCCATTCCATCAGTCTCCCATTCCATCAGTCTCCCATTCACTAATGTCTCCATTCACACATGTCTCCTTCACTAATGTCTCCTTTCACTAATGTCTCCCTTCCTCCCATTCATCAGTCTCCCATTCACTAATGTCTCCCATTCCATCAGTCTCCCATTCACTAATGTCTTCCTTTCCATCAGTCTCCCATTCACGAATGTCTCCCATTCACGAATGTCTCCCATTCACTAATGTCTCCCATTCACTAATGTCTCCCTTTCACTAGTGTCTCCCTTTCACTAATGTCTCCCTTTCACTAATGTCTCCCATTCCATCTGTCTCCCATTCCATCAGTCTCCCATTCACTAATGTCTCCCATTCACTAATGTCTCCCATTCACTAATGTCTCCCATTCACTAATGTCTCCCATTCTATCAGTTTCCCATTCACTAATGTTCCCCATTCCATCAGTCTCCCATTCACTAATGTCTCCATTCCATCAGTTTCCCATTCACTATGTCTCCCATTCATCAGTCTGCCATTCACTAATGTCTCCCATTCACTAATGTCTCCCATTCACTAATGTCTCCCATTCCATCAGTTCTCCCATTCACTAATGTCTCCATTCCACCAGTCTCCCATTCACTAATGTCTTCCTTTCCATCAGTCTCCCATTCACGAATGTCTCCCATTCACAAATGTCTCCCATTCACTAATGTCTCCCATTCACTAATGTCTCCCATTCACTAATGTCTCCCATTCTATCAGTTTCCCATTCACTAATGTCTCCCATTCCATCAGTCTCCCATTCACTAATGTCTCCCATTCCATCAGTTTCCCATTCACTAATGTCTCCCATTCCATCAGTCTGCCATTCACTAATGTCTCCCATTCACTAATGTCTCCCATTCACTAATGTCTCCCATTCCATCAGTCTCCCATTCACTAATGTCTCCCATTCCACCAGTCTCCCATTCACTAATGTCTTCCTTTCCATCAATCTCCCATTCACAAATGTCTCCCATTCACTAATGTCTCCCTTTCACTAATGTCTCCCTTTCACTAATGTCTCCCTTTCACTAATGTCTCCCATTCCATCTGTCTCCCATTCCATCAGTCTCCCATTCCATCAGTCTCCCATTCCATCAGTCTCCCATTCCATCAGTCTCCCATTCACTAATGTCTCCCTCTCACTAATGTCTCCCTTTCACTAATGTCTCCTTTTCACTAATGTCTCCCTTTCACTAATGTCTCCCTTTCACTAATGTCTCCCATTCCATCTGTCTCCCATTCCATCAGTCTCCCATTCACTAATGTCTCCCATTCACTAATGTCTCCCATTCACTAATGTCTCCCATTCCATCTGTCTCCCATTCCATCAGTCTCCCATTCCACCAGTCTCCCATTCACTAATGTCTCCCTTTCACTAATGTCTCCCTTTCACTAGTGTCTCCCTTTCACTAATGTCTCCCTTTCACTAATGTCTCCCATTCCATCTGTCTCCCATTCCATCAGTCTCCCATTCACTAATGTCTCCCATTCACTAATGTCTCCCATTCCATCAGTCTCCCATTCACTAATGTCTCCCATTCCATCTGTCTCCCATTCCATCAGTCTCCCATTCCATCAGTCTCCCATTCCATCAGTCTCCCATTCACTAATGTCTCCCATTCACTAATGTCTCCCATTCACTAATGTCTCCCATTCCATCAGTCTCCCATTCACTAATGTCTCCCATTCCATCTGTCTCCCATTCCATCAGTCTCCCATTCCACCAGTCTCCCATTCACTAATGTCTCCCATTTCACTAATGTCTCCCATTTCACTAATGTCTCCCATTCACTAATGTCTCCCATTCACTAATGTCTCCCATTCCATCAGTCTCCCATTCACTAATGTCTCCCATTCCATCTGTCTCCCATTCCATCAGTCTCCCATTCCACCAGTCTCCCATTTCACTAATGTCTCCCATTTCACTAATGTCTCCCATTTCACTAATGTCTCCCATTTCACTAATGTCTCCCATTCACTAATGTCTCCCATTCACTAATGTCTCCCATTCACTAATGTCTCCCATTCACTAATGTCTCCCATTCACTAATGTCTCCCATTCACTAATGTCTCCCTTTCACTAATGTCTCCCTTTCACTAATGTCTCCCATTCACTAATGTCTCCCATTCACTAATGTCTCCCATTCACTAATGTCTCCCATTCACTAATGTCTCCCATTCACTAATGTCTATCCCTTTCAATTAAAAAAATAAAGGACAGTAGAAAAAGCTCCATATTGCTGTGAATGCCACTAGAGCCCTTCCCCTCTCCTCTCTATTCCTCACCTCTTTAGAATGACAGTCCCAGTGTTGTTCTGTCCTGGGGCCAGGGCGAACAGAGACCTCTGTCTGCTCAGCTTCAGGAGTCCCTCCACCAGCTGATGTTTCTGGGTGCCAGACCCAGGGCCCCCCAGGTGGAAGGTCTTAGCCAGGCTACGGAGCTCCGGGGCAGGCAGCAGGTCCAGCACCTCCCCCAGCTCCTGGAGGTCCCTGTCTGGAAAACAGTTGAGGATGTCGGGCATTGGATGGTAGGGGTTGAACATTTGAGTGACTTACCACTGTTAAATGTGACAAGAGTGGAAATTCAACCCTCCGCACCGTAACACAACACACTCAAGAAGCACAGTCAATACTGACTCAGAAAAGAAAAGGCATGTCTGCATGCAGGGCTACAGTACCTCTAGATACCAAAAAGGCAGTAGCAATGCACATAGCCATCCACTACATTAGCATTTAGCATAATACCATTCAAGACCTTTCAACAGTTAGCATGTAGCATAATACCATGGAAGTCCATTCCTCCAACTGTTCGTAGGAAGCCTCCTTTCACCAGGTCCTGAGCTACAGGTCCTAGATCAGCCTAGTGTTAAGCATTTAGTATAACATAATTCAAGTCCATTCAACAGTTAGCATGTAGCATAAAAACAATCCCAGTCCAATCATTCACCTGTCTGTAGGAAGCCTCCTTCCACCAGCTCCTGAGCTACAGGTCCCAGGTCAGTGCTAATCTCATTATAGTTCAGCTTGTTGACCTGGAGCCACTTCAGTTTCCTCTGGAACAGTCTCACGTACAGCTTCTGACCTGTCACTGAGAGGAAAGAGAGACAAATTAGCAAGACGGGTTGATGATAAAATAGTAGTCGAAATCCTAAAGGGGTAATTACTACATGTAATTGTATTGTAATTTGTATATCGTGATTTTATATTATTCTTGTGTGTTCTAAAATAACCAGTGCTATTTTTTTGCAGAACACTTTCCTGTAGCCTCTCTTATGTATGCATTATAACAGCTACATGAGACATTATAACATCTGTCATTGGCAGTCGTGTTCTATTCTACACACCTGACAGATGCTCAAAGCTGTGTATGGCTGAGAGGTCTTCTTGATTGAACAGCATCCTATCATCTTCATTCTCCAGCACTGCCTCTAGCACGGTCAGGAAGTTACACAGGTAGTACGGTAACCGTGGTGACTCGGAATCTTCCTTATCAGTTCTTCTGTCTGTGCCGGGCTCTGTCAGCTGATCACTGCTACCGGTCACTGTGGATTCTTGTTGTTGTTGTTGTTGTTGTTGTTCTCCTTCTTCATCTAATTTTCCTTTTCTTCCTCTGGTGCTTCTCTCACACTCCTCCTCAGGCACCTCTGAGCTGCTCTTCAAAAGAGTGTCACAGTTACCAGCTGAAGATTCTTCTGTTCTGTGTTGCCGATCATCATCATCATCATCATCATCAGCTGTTGTTGTTGACGTAAGGAGTTTGTTTCTAGTGAGGTCCTCATCAGGTTCTCCACCGTCGCTCTTCTCATATCTGCCTTTCTTGCTGCGAGTAGACATCCTCTGTGTTTTAACAGAGACCTCTGCTTTTTCTACTTTCTTCCTCTTGTTCAGTTTGGATGGAGCAGAGGACAGAGGTGGCGGGGCCAGAGAAACTACTGGAGACAAGGATTCTAATTTAGAATCAGATTTGGATTCTAAATGTTCTAAAGGTTCTTCTCTGCTTTCTATCTGAGGTCTTCCCAGTGATATTGTACTGTGACTTTCCACTGTGACATTTGTTGTCTCTGTGGCCATTAAGCATGTTGTCTGGTCACCTAATCCCCGAGGGAGGTGGTTCTCCTTCTGAGAGCTGCTCAGTTCCTCAGACCTTCTGTCTTTCTCTGGGGAATTCTGGATGGTGATGATGTCATCAACCTGCGACTGTAGGTCCTCAGGGGACATCAGGCTTCGCTTCAGGCCCCTCCTGGAGAGCTTAGAGGACAGCCTGCTACCTAGGTCAATGGTCCTGACTACAGTCTTACTGCTCATCTCTCTGGTGGTTACCTGCTGAGAAGGAGAAGAAGCACCATGCTTTTTAAAGTATGGGCTGGTGTTGGAGTTGGCCTCTCGCTGAGGTTTTTCCTCCTTCGGAGAAGAAGGCCCTGTGTCTGGATTATGGACCTTACTGGCCTTCCTGGGAGGAGAGTGAGACGATGGCAGCTTTATTGTAGTAACAATGTTACTGGCTGAAGCAGTATCAATGGACGCACCATCTTCCCTCTGAAAGTTCTGACACTGTGAGTCAATGTGTTGGTTTATCCTGAACCGTGGCACCAGCTGACCACACAGAGGACATGCCAGTCTAGGTGGCAGGGGTGTTGTTGAAGAACGATAAAATGGAGGCTGTACCAGGACTTGCAGTGACACTCTTCTTACCATCTTTACTACCGATGGATCCTTTTCTCTTTGTTACTGAGAGCGTTCTCTGATGTTTGGGTTTGCTTCCTTTCTCTGCCATGGTGTTTCAACTGTTGTGCTGTTGTTGTTGTTGTTTTCACGTTTTGTCTAGAAAAACAGATGCTGATATTCCATTATGTAGCTATCTTGATAGTAACTTGCAAATGTAGGTCCACCACCAATCTGTAAAGTGAGAGAGAGAGGCATAGGTTACTGTTCACATAGCTGAGGAACGCTTAACTCCGTTCTCTTATATCGAGGCGGAGTTGAGTTTTGAAAACCGGTCGCCCACCATCAGACGATTATTGTTAAAAAATAAATAAATACATCTGAAAACGCTTACCTGTACCTAAGTTTGTCCTGTACAACTAACGTTCATCCGCGGGGTGCTGAAATTCATCATTTTAATAAAAACGTTTATCTAATACAACCACCGATTTTCGCCCTCATTTGTGTTGCTCGTACTACGTAGACTGAGATTTAATTGGCACATGCACATTCGCGCTGAGTTAAGCAACACAAATGAGGGGAAAAGTCAATATTAGGAAGGTGTTCCTAATGTTTGGTAATGTGACAGTGAGAGAAACCTACTTGCTGAACATTGTTGTCATAAAGACTACACTACCACCAGATATTATTTAGTACAATGTCACATCATAAACGTATAATTCCTTCACATTATAGCTAATCCACTCACCACAGTGCCACCAGTGTCGTTCACCACCGATCTTTCATCTAGAATGGGCAATGCGCGGCTGAGCTAGCTAGATAGTTCTCTTGTTCTCTTCACGTTACATTTGCAGGCGTCAGGCAATGGCAGAGAAATTGTCATACCGGTTATACATTGTGTTATAATATAATTATTTTGAGTTTTAGATGAGAAATGAAGCTCGTTGAGTAGCCCGTGTTTTGTTGTTACACAACATCCGTGTTCGCGCTCAAGGCTGGAGCGATCGAGAAAGGAGACTAAATTAGACTAAAGTAGTAGATGACAAATCCATCGATTTGGTGGATTTTCATATATTGTTGAAAGGGGAGGTAATTGTGTGTTTCACAAATTAATAATAACACAACATAAAACACTTAAAAAATATTAATTGTTAAGGCTCTTATTAATTGGCCTATGAGGTGTAAGTAGCCTACCCCTTCTGTAGAAATAAATGCAGCATCAACTGCACAGATTTTTTTTTACAAATAGACAATGCATTGACTATCTGGGAAGATGTCTTATAATGTTTTTTGACCCCAATGAAACAAATATATGTAATTGTTGCTATACGCCACTCACTTTGACTCTGCCAATGATGTACGTTTAGTCTCATGTGGCATAAAGGATATTTTTATTGAGATCAGATGGACAAGACCATTTCCTCAGGGTGCTGCCCGCACGTACTGAGGAGAGAATATAGCCTGCCTGGGGTATTCCTTACACACGTTCCAGGGCTACTTGCCCCTTTCTTCCAAATTCACCAGATTCCGGGGTTTCTAAGGCAAATCTCTGATCCGGACATCAAAGGAGCCAAGATCCTATCATCAGTCGATGCTGGTAAGTCGGATATTAGCCTATATTGTTTTAATTGTGATGCTTTAATAGAAAGAGATCAGTAGCATATTCAGGTTGCAACCCTATATTTGAGGTCCCTATTATAAAGATGTGGTCTTAATGGCACAGAGGAATCATGGCACACACCACCAGCCTGATTAGCCTATAACACTACACCAGCGTGGTGCAGTCTCAATGAGAAATAAATTCAAATCAAGGTCGTTGTTAATTGTGCCTATAAGAACTTAGCGGTTTGTCTGTCGGCGATTTACAAGGCTGTAGATCAATGTGACGAATAGCGGTTTTCAGAGAATGGATGAGAAAACCAAACCCTTGCGTTTTATGAAAGACAGAAAGAAGATGCTGAGTGCGTGAAAACCCGGATAGGATTTAAGAAATAGATTGAGATAGAACGAATGCGTGCGTGTCCCTGTCCTGTCCTCGAGGAACAGATTTGAAACAACACTACCCCTGCAGTTGCGGCAAAAGTTTGGCATGATCGTTTATCATCTGATTATCTGCAGTGTGCAATTGAATAATCTCGCGTGAGATCTTATAGATGCACACTAGCAACAGCATTTGCAACGTCATAATGATCAACAAAAATTACTACTTCAAAAAGCATCAGTCATCCATACAGTTCAACACCATGGACAGGGACAGTTCGCATTTAGATGTGTGTGTGTTTGGCGGGTATTATTGAAAGCAGATGTGTAGTGACGCAGTTTTAGAAGAATAAACCTTTTGATTTCGCTCACTTGGGGATTGCATGCGTTCCCTTACTTCCTTATTTGGTCTAGTTATGTAAATAGAACTAGTAAGCTATATCCTAGGCATAGGTTTGGCATGTAAACCCGATATGCTATTCCAATTATAATTTGACCACGGGTTCACTGCTGTGCTTTTATAGGACTGAGGATAGTGTGGTGGGGAAACTGGGGGCCAGCCTGAGCCATGGCTCATGGGAAGAAGCCAGGGAAGATCACCAGAATCCTGGGACCCAGCCCTCCGTCCTGCCCAGGAGGATCCATAGAGAAGAAGCCAGGGACTATTAGAAGAATATTGGCCCCCAGCCCTCCGCCCAGCCCGGGTCCCACAGGATCCACAGAGGTGTCTAATGAAGGACCTCATAATGAAGGACCTCAGAAAGAAAGACCACAGAGTTTGAGGAGTAAGGGCCCTCTGCCCTGCCCTGGTCCCCTATCCACAGGGGAGCCTACTGATGAAGAACCCCAGGGTCTGAGCAGAAAAAGCCCAACTGAAGGACTTCATAATGGGACTCTGAGTCTGAAGACTGAGGGCCCTCCTCAGCACTCGCAGAGCACCAGCAATGAGGAGCTGGACAATAACAATGATGAGAGGACCCTTGGGCCTGCAGCACCTGTCCCTGTCCCTGCTAATGCAACACAGGCCCACCCAACCCAGGCCTGCAGCAACATGACCCAGGCCCACCCAACCCAGGCCTGCAGCAACATGACCCAGGCCCACCCAACCCAGGCCTGCAGCAACATGACCCAGGCCCACCCAACCCAGGCCTGCAGCAACATGACCCAGGCCCACCCAACCCAGGCCTGCAGCAACATGACCCAGGACCCAGGCCCACCCAACCCAGGCCTGCAGCAACATGACCCAGGCCCACCCAACCCAGGCCTGCAGCAACATGACCCAGGCCCACCCAACCCAGGCCTGCAGCAACGTGACCCAGGCCCAGAACTACCCTCGGCAGTCAGATGCACAGGCCCAGCCCCGACAAACCCAGCAGCATCGCAGAGAGAGTCCAACGAGCCCCGGCACCAGGCCCACTTCTGACTCCCCATCCAGCCAGGAGAGCCAGTCCAGGGCTGATAAACCATCACCTGTCCTTACCAGTGCTATTCCTAACCAGCCGTGTCTGATTGGTCCCTCCAATTCACCGCTTCCTGTCCCTCCTAGAGCTAGTGTCTCGCTGAACCAGCCCAGTGACACCACCAGCCCTGACAGCATGGATGAGGAAGAGGAGGAGGAGGTAGATGACAGCTGCTCAGAGTACGACAACGTGGGTTCAGACGTTGAAGGTGTGGAGCAGGTCTTTGATGAGGCGCTGCAGGTGGAAGACCAGGGGATGGAGGTGAGGTACGACGGCCACGACCTTGAGCCGCAAGATGTCAGCTACGTAGAGAGTGAGGATGGCATCTATGTGGAACACCTAGACGGAACCTACATGGAACACCTAGACGGAACCTACATGGAACACCTAGACGGAACCTACATGAAACACCTAGACGGAACCTACATGGAACACCAAGACGGAACTTACATGAAACACCAAGACGGAACCTATGTGAAACTCCAAAATGGAACCTATGTGAAACTCCAAGACGGAACCTACATGAAACTCCAAGACGGAACCTACATGAAACTCCAAGACGGAACCTACATGAAACTCCAAGACGGAACCTATGTGAAACTCCAAGACGGAACCTACGTAAAACTCCAAGACGGAACCTACATGAAACTCCAAAACGGAACCTTCGTGGAATGTGAAGACCGAACTTACATAGAACACGAAGACGGAACGTATGTGAGGCATGAAGATGAAACCTACGTAGAAGAATACAAGGATGGACCCTATTGCCCCAAAGATGCCGCCTATGTAGAAGGTGAGGATGGTACCTATGTGAAGGGTAGTGTGGAGGGGGACAGCCTGGAGGGGGACAGCAGCACCACTGTACAATACAAACCCACTAGACCAATGCACGGCCCTGAGTGCGAGGAGATGCAGGATACAGATAGAAATCCCCGTAGCTCCTCTGAGCATCACCATCAGTTCAATGACAATCCACAACAGACACCCAAGGCTAGAGATGAGGAGGAGGAAGAGGAGGTGGAGGGGCAGGAGGAGGAGAATTTCCCAGATGAAAGTGGTGAAACAGAGGAAGAGCGGGATGTGACCACGTACACAGAGGAGGAGTCTGAAGAGACAGAGGACAGACAGCAGGAGGAACAAACCACAAGAGAGGGAGAGAGGGAGGGGGAGAGGGTGAGAGAGAGAGAGAGGAAGGGGGAGAGGGTGAGAGAGAGAGAGAGGAAGGGGGAGAGGGTGAGAGAGGGAGAGAGGGAGGGGGAGAGGGTGAGAGAGGGAGAGAGGGAGGGGGAGAGGGGGAGAGAGGGAGAAGAAAGGGGAGGGAGGGTGAGAGAGGAAGGGGGAGGGTGAGAGAGAGGAGAGAGAGGGGAGGAGAGGGAGAGGAAGGGGGAGAGGTGGAGGGAAGGAGGGAGGAGAAGGGGAGAGGGGCAGAGGGAGAGAGGAGTGAAGAGGGGAGAGGAGGGAGGAGGGAGAGGGAGGAGAGAGAGGGAGAGGGGGAAGAGGGTGAGAGAGGGAGAGAGAAGGGGGAGAGGGATGAGGAAGGGAGGGAGGGAGGGGGAGAGGGGGAGAGGAGAAGGGGGGGAGGGGGAGAGAGGTGAGAAGGGCAGAGGGGAGTGAGAAGAGGAGGGGAGGTGAGAGAGGAGAAGGAGGGGAGATGAGGAGAGAGGGAGGGGGGGGAGGGAGAGGGTGAGTAGAGGAGAGACGGAGGGGGAGGGTGGAGAGGGAGGAGAGGGAGAGGGGAGGAGGAGAGAGGAGGGGGGGGTGAGGGTGGAGAGGGGAGAGAGGAGGGGGGGAGAGGGGAGAGAGGGAGAGAGGGAGGGTGAGAGGGTGAGAGAGGGAGAGAGGAGGGGGGAAGGGGAGAGAGGAGAGAGGGAGGGGGAGGTGAGAGGGGAGAGGGGGGAGAGGGGAGGAGGGAGGAGGGGGGGGAGGGTGGAGAGGGGAGGGAGAGGGAGCGGGGAGAGGGAGGGTTGAGAGGGTGAGAGAGAGGGGAGGGGGAGGGTGAGGAGGGAGAGAGGGAGGGGGAGAGGTGAGCGAGAGAGGGGGGGGGAGGAGCGGGGCGAGGGGAGCGAGGGGCGGGGAGGTGGGGGGAGGGAAGGAGGGGGGCGGGTGGAGAGAGGGAGAGGGGTGGGGGGAGGGTGAGAGAGGGAGAGAGGGTGGGGAAGGGAGGGAGGGGGGAGAGGGAGAGAGGGAGGGGGCAAGGTGAGAGAGGGAGAGGGGGAGAGGGGGAGAGAGGGAGGGGGAGAGGGGGAAGGGCGGGGAGAGAGGGTGAGAGGAAGAGGGAGAGTGTGAGAGAGGGAGAGAGGGGTGACAGGGAGGATGGTGAGGTCAGCTCTTTGGGAAACTGTAACACCCCAGAGGACAGTACAATCTCAGTGTGTGTCTCAGCGTCCCCACAAAGGGGGAGTGGTGGGGGAAGCGATTGGACTTGTGAGGCCCCTCAAAGGGCCCATAAGGGGGTGAAGAGGCAGGGGAGGGGAGGAGGACGGGGAGGGAGGAGTGGGAAGGAAGGAGGAAGGGGCTGGAGGGAGACTGACAGGGAGGACGACACTGGCCAGATAGTGTCTGAGATAAAGGTATGCATGAGCAGCAGCAGCAGCTCAGAGACACAGGACTGCAGAGAGGCTGCCACCAGGCCCAGACCACCAAGGCCCAGGCCCAGGCCCAGATCCGGCCCCAGCTCCAGCACCCCACACCTTCACCAGACAGAATCCCACACTCAGCTGACCAAGACCCGCCCAAAACAGGCCTACCAGACCCACACCTACCTGACAGAGGTCCATACTGGCCCGACAAAAGCCTATCCAACACAGAAGCACCAGCTAGAGGCCCAGAGCGAAGCCCGACAGAGCCAGCAGACTAAGACACAGGACTGCAGAGAAGGTGCCATCAGGCCTAGACATAGATCTGGCTCTAACACACCACACCCTCACCCTCCCCAGGCCCTGGCCCAGCAGACACACACCCAGCCTCACCAGATCTGCCCAAAACAGGCCCATCCTGCAAAGACCCACAACCACCCGACACAGGCCCAGACACTGCAGCACCACAGAGAAGGTCCCGTCAGGCGCAGCCCTAGGCCTAGGCCCACCTCTGACTGCCCTCCCACCCACCAGACCCAGGTCCGGAACCACCAGACCCAGGCCCACATCCAGCAGACTCAGCATCGCAGAGAGAGACTCACCACTGAGCCTACACACAGCCAGCAGTCAGAGTCCCAGATCCAGCAGTCAGAGGCCCAGGCCCAGCAGTCAGAGGCCCAGATCCAGCAGTCGGAGGCCCAGATCCAGCATTCAGAGGCCCAGATCCAGCAGTCAGAGGCCCAGACCCAGCAGTCAGAGGTCCAGACCCAGCAGTCGGAGGATCGGAGAGGGAGTCCCATCACTTCTGACCCCCCTCCCACCCACCAGACCCAGGCCCAGAACCACCAGACCCAGGCCCAGAACGACCCTCGGCTGCCAGAGGCCTGGCAGACCATGCAGCACCGTAGAGAGAGCCTTACCAGCCCCAGGCCCGACTCCGACTCCCCACCCAGTAAGGCCCAAAATTACCAGTCTCAGGCCCAGCAGCACCACAGAGAGAGTCTCCCCAGACCCCGGACCACTTCTGCCTCCCCTCCCAGCCACAAGGCCCAAATACAGGACCACACTCCCCACACCCGACAGACACAGCAGCATCGCAGAGAGAGCACCACCAGTCCCAGGCTCCCCTCTGACTCCCTTCCCCTCCAGGAGAACCACCAGGCCCACATCCAGGACCGCTCTTATCAGACCCAGACCCGGGGCAGACAGACCCAGCAGCATCGCAGACAGAGTGCCACCAGCCCCAGCCCAAGGCCCACTTCTATCTCCCCTCCCAGCCTGACGAGCCATCCAAGGGCTGTCAGTCTATCGCCATCACCAGTTCCACCAGCTCCACAGCAGATCACACAGCCACAGAGGGAGTCCCCAGAGGAGAGACAGACAAGGACACAGACACAGAGGGAGTCCCCAGAGGAGAGACAGACAAGGACACAGACACAGAGGGAGTCCCCAGAGGAGAGACAGACAAGGACACAGACACAGAGGGAGTCCCCAGAGGAGAGACAGACAAGGACACAGACACAGAGGGAGTCCCCAGAGGAGAGACAGACACGGACACAGACACAGAGGGGAGTCCCCAGAGGAGAGACAGACAAGGACACAGACACAGAGGGAGTCCCCAGAGGAGAGACAGACAAGGACACAGACACAGAGGGAGTCCCCAGAGGAGAGACAGACAAGGACACAGACACAGAGGGAGTCCCCAGAGGAGAGACAGACAATGACACAGACACAGAGGGAGTCCCCAGAGGAGAGACAGACAAGGACACAGACACAGAAACAGGTAACTGCCTGATGCTGCCAACTCAACAGGGTTTGTTTTATGTTATTCGTTTGACTTGACAGGGACCATGTACAACAAACACTGCACCAGATTTGACCCACGTACATGTAGCTAAGTCTCATCTGAAGTCCGGTCGTGTTTCTGTCTGTCTGTTTATTTGTCAGTAAGATCTCCCCTCTGTCTGTTCCAGATGCCTCAACAGGTCTCAGAGCAGCAGCCATGCAGGCCTCACTGCCCAGAGCGACGGGCCCTAGAGGAGGACAGGAACAACGCACCTCCGCCTGAACCAACACAGAACAACGCCTCGTTCCCCAGCTTCGTGGATGGTAAATATACTTTTTCTGTATGGTTCATTTGAATCCATACCTGAGTAATGCACATATGATTGTGATATAACCGTTTAGGGCCCGTTTGGTGTCTGGTGTGGACACACCTTGAGGTTGCTGTACTGCTGCAACCATATTGCCCAGCAATAGGACAATAACGGCCTTCTGAATGTGAATCTGGATCTGAATGTGAATCTGAATCTGAATGTGAATCTGGATCTGAAGGTTAATCTGAATCTGAATGTGAATCTGACTCTGAATGTTAATCTGAATCTGACCGAATGTGAATCTGTATCTGAATCTGAAACGGAGTCTGAATGTGAATCTGACTCTGACTCTGACTCTGAATGTGAATCTGACTCTGAATGTGAATCTGAATCTGACTCTGAATGTTAATCTGACTTGAATGTGAATCTGGATCTGAATGTGAATGTGAATCTGACTCTGAATGTGAATGTGAATCTGACTCTGAATGTGAATCTGACTCTGACTCTGAATGTGAATCTGACTCTGAATGTTAATCTGAATCTGAATGTGAATCTGACTCTGAATGTTAATCTGAATCTGACCGAATGTGAATCTGTATCTGAATCTGAACGGAGTCTGAATGTGAATCTGACTCTGACTCTGAATGTGAATCTGACTCTGAATGTGAATCTGAATCTGACTCTGAATGTGAATCTGAATCTGACTCTGAATGTGAATCGTGAACTCTGAATGTGACTCTGAATGTGAATCTGACTCTGAATCTGTGAATCTGACTCTGAATCTGACTTTGAATCTGACTCTGAATCTGACGCTGAATGTGAATCTGAACCTGACCCTGAATGTGAATGTGAATCTGACTCTGAACCTGACTCTGACTGTGATTCTCATGCCCAGTCCCAGGTCCATGTGAGCCGGAGGACCTGATCGATGGGATCATCTTTGCTGCTAACTATCTGGGTTCCACCCAGCTGCTGTCTGACAAAAACCCGTCTAAAGGAATACGCATGGCCCAGGCCCAGCAGTCTGTCAGCCAGGTCAAGGTATTCTATTCAATTCTATTTTTTGCCTGCCTAATATTCTGATCGATCAATGAATGTCAGCTGAACTGAATATCCATTCTTCCTAACCACAATAAATATTTTTGCGATTGAAAAAAAAACTCACCGCTGGAGTACACTTTTTCAACCACATGATGGAGCTCTCTCATTCCTTTTCACCATGTTTTGTGTGTCTACCATAATATAATATAATATGCCATTTAGCAAACTCCAGAAAATCAGCTCCAAGTGATTTAAATTTTGGAAATCTGTTCCCAAGTATTCCCACACATAATAGAGAGACACGTGATCGTATACAAAATGTAAGCAAGGTTTGAATTGATTATGTTTTAGTCAAATATTATATCTGTTTGGGATTTTTGCGGTCAATTTGCAGTCTACAAATTATTTGTAATTATGTTCCGGCCCCCCTCGACCATCCATCCATCCGCTCAAGAAAAAAAATCATCCCGCGGCAGAATCTAGTTGATGATCCCTTATCTATGACGTCTGCCCACAGAGCCGAGATGAAGACTCTCAGATGGTGACAGAAGTTGACCTCTTCATCTCCACCAAAGCAGTCAAAGTGCTGAATGCTGACACACAGGTGTGTAACACAGTATGAGCTATGTGTCTAGGGAAACACTCACCTCTGACCTCTCTGTGTTGCTTTGTATCTGCCACCGGGTTGGGGTTTCAATTCAGGAAGTTGACAGAAATTCCAGTTCCAATTCCTAATTTTCCTTATTGATAAAAATCTGATCTACTGTCATAAGAGTCCTATCTTTTCCTCTTATAACTTAAGGGGGCATTCCTAGTATTACCACAGCAGATACAGTTGAAGTCGGAAGTTTACATACACCTTAGCCAAATACATTTAAACTCAGTTTTTCCACAATTCCTGACATTTAATCCTAGTAAAAATTCCCTGTCTTAGGTCAGTTAGGATCACCACTTTATTTTAAGAATGTGAAATCAGTCAGAATAATAGTAGAGAGAATGATTTATTTCAGCTTTTATTTCTTTCATCACATTCCCAGTGGGTCATAAGTTTACATACACTCAATTAGTATTTGGTAGCATTGCCTTTAAATTGTTTAACTTGGGTCAAACGTTTTGGGTAGCCTTTCACAAGCTTCCCACAATAAGTTGGGTGAATTTTGGCCCATTCCTCCTGACAGAGCTGGTGTAACTGAGTCAGGTTTGTAGGCCTCCTTGCTCGCACACGCTTTTTCAGTTCTGCCCACACCTTTTCTATAGGATTGAGGTCAGGGCTTTGTGATGGCCACTCCAATACCTTGACTTTGTTGTCCTTAAGCCATTTTGCCACAACTTTGGAAGACCCATTTGCGACCAAGCTTTAACTTCCTGAGTGATGTCTTGAGATGTTGCTTCATTATATCCACATAATTTTCCTTCCTCACGATGCCATCTATTTTGTGAAGTGCACCAGTCCCTCCTGCAGCAAAGCACCCCCACAGCATGATACTGCCACCCCCGTGCTTCACGGTTGGGATGGTGTTCTTCGGCTTGCAAGGTACCCCCTTTTTCCTCCAAACATAACGATGGTCATTATGGCCAAACAGTTCTATTTTTGTTTCATCAGACCAGAGGACATTTCTCCAAAAAGTACGATCTTTGTCCCCATGTGCAGTTGCAAACCGTAGTCTGTTTTTTTTAATGGCGGTTTTGGAGCAGTGGCTTCTTCCTTACTGAGCGGCCTTTCAGGTTATGTCGATATAGGACTCGTTTTACTGTGGATATAGATACTTTTGTACCTGTTTCCTCCAGCATCTTCACAAGGTCCTTTGCTGTTGTTCTGGGATTGATTTGCACTTTTCCCACCAAAGTACGTTCATCTCTAGGAGACAGAACGCGTCTCCTTCCTGAGCGGAATGACGGCTGTGTGGTCCCATGGTGTTTATACTTGGGTACTATTGTTTGTAAAGATGAATGTGGTACCTTCAGGCGTTTGGAAATTGCTCCCAAGGATGAACCAGACTTGTGGAGGTCTACAATTTCTTTTCGGAGGTCTAGGCTGATTTCTTTTGATTTTCCCATGATGTCAAGCAAAGAGGCACAGTTTGAAGGTAGGCCTTGAAATACATCCACAGGTACACCTCCAATTGACTCAAACGATGTCAATTAGCCTATCAGAAGCTTCTAAAGCCATGACATCATTTTCTGGAATTTTCCAAGCTGTTTAAAGGCACAGTCAACTTAGTGTATGTAAACTTCTGACCCACTGGAATTGTGATACAGTGAATTATAAGTGAAATAATCTGTCTGTAAACAATTGTTGGAAAGATTACTTGTGTCATGCACAAAGTAGATGTCCTAACCGACTTGCCAAAACTATAATTTGTTAACAAGAAATGTGTGGAGTGGTTGAAAAACGAGTTTTAATGACTCCAACCCAAGTGTATGTAAACTTCCGACTTCAACTGTATATGTATTATTTATCCCCCCAGGAGACGCTGATGGACAGTGCGTTGCGTACCATCTCCTACATCGCAGACATCGGGAGCATCGTGGTTCTGATGGCTCGTACCCGTATGTCAGGCACGTCCTCGCAGGACTGTACTGAGGCTGATCTCTCCTCCTCAGAGGGACAGAGACACTACAGAATGATCTGCTATGTCTTTGAGTCAGAAGACGTGAGTACTGGACTGGCAGCCTTAAAATAAGATTCTGTTCTGTTCTGGTCTAGTCTGTTCTGGTCTAGTCTGTTCTGGTCTAGTCTGTTCTGTTTTGTTCTGTTCTATCATGTTCTGTTTTATTCTGTTCTGTTCTGTTCTGTTCTGTTCTCCCACTCTTTCCATTTGAATACTGCTGAATGTTATTGATGGATTGGGGCATTGCTTTTGTTATTTGAGATTGTTTGGCACAGTGTTTGCTAAGGTCTATACACTATTACAGAACAATATTACTGAACATCATTTTAAAGCTTTGAAAATGGCTATGGCCTGTACAGAGGCCCTACCTTATTTAACTCTTATGTTGGCTTTCCTATAACATGTGTTATACTTCCTATAACATGTGTTATACCTTCCTATAACATGTGTTATATCTTCCTATAAAGGTATAATTCCTATAAAAGTGTTTTAATTTAAAATTTTT